ACGTGGGCGTTGGAGCGGCAGATTTCCGATGTCAGGGCAGCTCCAGACCTCCGGAATAGCTGTAGTGACTGTGGCGCCTCAGCTCCGCGTGCAAAGTGCATTGTTCGTCTGATCGATGCACTCAAGTTCAATGGTTGGTACGGCACGCACGCCTATCACGTCAGGCTAGCAGCACACCAGACGAACCTGTGTAGGATCTCTGGGTCAGCAGCGGGTGTCACCTCACGCAACCGCCATCCCTCAACCAAGATCTGGGGTGAACGTCGCTGACAAGATTAGGTTTGTGAGCGATCACGAACGCGCGCCGGTCTATGGTCGCAGCTGGTGGGATCGTTCCAGAACCGGCTTCTCACAGGGAGAACACGATCAAAGGTCACAGCACTAGAGCGGGGGGAGCCCTACCACATGCCCTGTGGTGCTGGTGTCTCAAGTTCTTACTTGCAGACGCGGAGCCCTACAAACGAAATTCACGTTGCTTGTTGCGTACAAATGTGCCTGTGGTGATGTGGCCAGGCACATGACGTACCTAAATGACCGCAGTGTCATGTACGGGGAGTCCCAAGGAGTGTCGGCGCAGATGCAGGTATGGGCAGAAATCGGCGGAATACACTGAAGGAGGAGGTAGCTCTTGAGGCTGAAAGGCCGTGCGCTTGGGCAACGGGCATCAACCATGTAAGGCCGCAGAACTCCCGCCGCCATCTGAGCAAGAAAGCCTACCATAGTATTCCGCAAATGCTTCTTCACAAGCCCGACGAACGACGCAGCAGTAGAATTTGTCAACTTCCTGTTCCAGCCCCTCTTTGTCCTCCGCTAGACCTGGACACAGATGCTGAAGGTCCAGGGGGGGGCCTGGGCTGGCAGTGGTGGGCGGGGACACCTGCAGAGCGCAGATGGGGACCATCCAGGGCATCAACGGTTCAGGGCCAGCCTGGCCAGGGGGGCACTCTGGCACTCCCCTAAGCGAGCATGCATTCCCTGGCTTGTCACGCACATCAATGATCCAAGACAGGCGGTCGACCTGCACCGCTGGGCCCAGCCGCCAACCTTGTCATCGACTTCTGCCAGAATTCCCCTGCCCCAGCGCTCCAAACAGCACTGTGTCGCAGTTTCGCGGGCATGAAGTGGGAACGCTGGCCGCCTGTTGCCGGGCTTAGGAGAGCTGCGCCCATGTCAAGCCTTCGTTGTTTGATGTCCCCCCCGACGCAAATCTTCGACATGGGCCCATAGAAGCTTCTGAAACACGGCTCCAGCTCGGATGGCATGCCGAACTTGATTCAGCCCTCTGTGTGACAGGTTTGGGGTCGGGGCAGAGCGCAGAGACGACCAAATCCTGCTCGAGGATCGTGTAAGTCACCCGAGCAATTTGTCAGTTTCCAATGCTCCTGTCGTGGGCCCCAAGCGCCGGGACGCCCAGGCGCGTGAAGAAATCCCGCTTGGCAGCAAGCGATGCGAACGGAGGCACGGCAGTCCCAGGATGCTAAGATTGAAAAGACAACTCCGCAATCTACCAGTCACTAGTATAATGGCTCACGGGATTTCCAAATACCTAGCAGACGTCGAGGGAACTTGTCACGGCCACCATCCGTGGCTTGGATGCGCCGTACCTGATACCTGGCCTAGGTAATTGCTGGGTATCATCGACCCTCCCGTAGCGAGCTTGCGAGAGCCGGGGCCGCCTTTGGGCTCGCAAAGATTGGCCGGCCGAAAACGATTGTGGGCCCTCAACGTTGATAGCTTCTGGCTGTTGCGGGCTTTGACAGTGTGAAGCACAGCACGGGCAGGATAGGTTGATCATGGGCGTTTGCGCCTTTCGCTCCATGTTGGAAATTTGGCCTCGTCGGTGGAATTGATGGATACGACTCGGAAAGAGAGCTGCGATCCCCTGTCTGCCGGTCGGTCGGCTTCGTCCTGAGCTCAATGCAGCAAGGCCCTCACACGTCCTCCGCTCCCGTCCCGTCATGCCGCATTGCCATGCAGGGATGCGAGGAACGTCAACTTTGACATCCGGGGGAAACGGGCGACAAGAACGTTCGACGCCAGAATAACTTGGGCACTACGGGAATGCCAGCATGAATCCCCTGGCGTAGCCCACCCCTACGCACGGACAGGCGAATCGGGCAGACCTTGTCCAGACCGCAGTAGACGACTCTAGCAGGGGCCCCTGATCTTGGTGATGTACCATAGTAGAACGGTCTGGCAGGCCTTGACCAAGTACATCATCGCTGTGTACTGCTGCCGGACACAAACTAGCTGACTGCAGGTACTGTGACGCGTGCTTATCCCCCGTCCACTACTTTGATTGCCCACTTGCTTGCTTGTATACAGTGGGCAGGCGGCCCAGCGGGCGCCCACAACCCGTTGGTTCTCAGGTCGAGGATCATCTGTCACTGAACGTCACATCCACACTGTACTCGATATTGTACATGGACTGGGGCCTTGCTATCCTGGCTCAAGTACTCTTTCGGCCGGTAGATCCTGAAGAACTCTATTCTATCATCGTCATCTTCTTGTTCTTGCGATATTCATCCAGTACACTCTGTAAGAGAGGCCCTGTACCTTCCACACAATCGAGAGTCGAGATAACGAACACGCCTGCTCGCCATTGCTGAGAGCTATTTTCTTCCCGTGTGCTGATCGCCAAGATTCGTCATCCTTGAGCTCTGATCAACATCATATTGCCGCCTTGGAAGGTGGTCTGACGTCCAAGAGCTAGTCTATTTGTACCACCAACCTACTACTTTCCGGAGGCGGGTCCTCAGAAGATCTTCTGAAACCTCCTGATCGCAGCAAGCGCACGGCATTGTCACATCAATCCCATAATTCAAAGTCTATTTGTCTCTACAAAAACCTGGTCGAACAACGCTAGAAGTTCTCGCCTGGTCGGCCAGGACTTCCATCAACCAAGTTCTGGGTTCACCCACACAAGATCCTCCTGAAGCGATCTCGAATAACGAAGACAGCGCCGCAGAGTGTGGATGATCGCCTTTCTCTGAACCAGATTACACCTACCCACACAGGCGCCGTTGTAGAGCACGGAAGCTACTTTAGCATTCGTCATAGCTTTGACGCTATCGAATATAACGGGCGCCACCACGACCACCACCACGACCACCAGGAGCACCAGAGGCTTTTGAGCCGTACTTTCAAAGATCTTAGAAGACCCGTCACCGCTAACCAGAGATCTATCGAGTATCAGGGGACGACACATCTTGGTATTCGAGCGCTTCACTGATCAAGCCGTTGCCGTTTGCGGGGCGATCCAAGATTTGCTTCATCAAATCTGGACAGCTGCAGGAGAAAGGCTTGTCAGTATTTGGCACAAAAGCTGGATGAGGGTTGGCGAGAACCAAAGAAGCGTTGTCTTTGTCACGAGCTGTCACCACGGATCTCTACCCTGGTCGAGCCAGTCAAACCTCATCCCAACTGCAGACCCCACACATACCTGGACCATCAGACGAGTTGGACCACTCCCATACATTTCCCAGGACGAAAAGCCGTTGAACCTACGGATACGCCCACGGCATAAACCTCAAGAAATACTGCGCGCTCTGTGTCAGGGACTGACAAGGCTAATCGAGCGTTGTAACCCCGGAAGCCTCCGTCCTTGCGTTTCCATCTAAGTCCACCCCTCCAGCATCGCTCACCCCTCGAGTCACGGCGGCCCGTCACTACTATTTGTCTTGTCTGTTACCTGATCCACGATTGCCATAACCTGGATCTGGTCTCTGCTCTGGCTACTCCGCAGTTTCTACCAACCCTTCTACGGTCGAAAGCACCCTGTACCCTTACACCTACCCACAACACTCCATAGCTCTTGAGGACACGCCTTCGCAGCATACTGGATTCTTCGGTTACATTCATTGAAGCGCCGCACTCGTTATAAAGCCCGCTCGCTTTTCGAAAAAGGCGGCAGATTTGTGGGGTTCAGAGAAGCTTGCCCAAAGGATCTACTCCCAGCCTACGCCCGCCGGTTTGGAGACAGCCACAGCTCACACAATCGTTTTGTCGGAAACACCAAAGCGCAAGACTTTATCCAGACCAACGAAAGCAGACAGCAAGTCTGTTGAACTAAAAATCGACCTGTGCGGCACGTCAGGAAAAGGCGATTATAGTCGCGAGCGCTACGGCTGGCGACTCTCCACCAACCCTTACGATTTCTACCTTCTCGTACTTTGTCGACGTCGAACGTGACGACACGAAAGAGCTCTTTGCGATCATCAGTAGCCGCTCCCTGAAGACTGTAACTTCCTTTGATGATATTGTTCGTGGTCAGCACAGAACTGTCAGCACAGAAATCACAACGTCTCGAAGAACAAGCAAGCAGCAAACAAATCACCTCGACAGCGTTTCTCGACTCACAGCCGTAGGCGAAGGCGAACAGAGCATCTCCGAGCCTATTAGTGTTCAAGCAGCGGAGGGCCAGCAAGGTGGCACGAACGTACAAAAGTGCGCAGAAGTCGTCCCAAGCGCCTTCCAAAGTTAATCTGCTCTCGTAGCTGTCAGACTTCAGCCTCCTCCCTCTCCTCGTTCCAATCGCTTGCAACTTCTCGGGAGGAAAGTTCGACAGCCTCTCCACTTGGCCCGTGTCGCATGTCGACAAGCTTCGTAACAGCCTCTTGACAACTTCGATCAGACCACATCTCCGCCAGACTGATGAGATATACTTTGGGAATAGCAAGGAACTACGTATCTCCACAAAAATCGCCGGCCACAGTCTGTGTGAAGATACATCTGCGGAACTTCACTTGTCGCAGCTGAGTCATCCAATCATACGTTCGGCGTAAGTACCTTTCTGTCGTTCCGTAATACTGAGCTTTCTCGTATTCTGGTTGCACCAAGAGATATAAGTTCTCGGTGTCCCCGTCTTGACCCGGCTCGTTCTATCCACAGGCGCACAGTCGACTGACACACGGCGTTGACAGAGCGAACCAATATACGCCAAATTCAATCCAAGCCTACCGGTCAGCTTTCACTCGATAGATCGTTGTGGAGGCCTCACAATGAACTACCCTTTGCATCAGGGCTCCTGGGGCCCAATGCAGCAACAAAACACATATTCGCGCCAGGACCATATTCAAGCACCACAAGCAGTTCCCATGAGGTTGGTCGAGGAGATCGATGCCCTCCCGGAACTCGTTCATGCTAATGTCGATCACAGGTCACGCTACGATGGATACATTCTCCGAGTGATACAAAACCCCAAACATGGCAGGGTTGGCATTGGCAAGGAAAAAGGTAAGCTGTCAAACCCCCTGCATATGGGCAAACACGGCTGACGTGACTGCAGATAGAAAACCTCTTGACCCTCCGCCGTTTGTACAGCTTGATGTACTGGATCGTCCTGACCATACGATGCATTTGCAAAGTGAGTTACCTACGCGGCGCTTTTTGAAAATCGATTGTATAAATCATGGCTGACACACGTCTTAGGTCCATACCTCCTAGTCTATGCCTACCTCGAGCCAGCTTCGAGTACCGCAATTTCGGCCGAGGAAAGGAAGAAGGTCGGATCACACCTTATGGGAACTACTGCCTCGTCTCTACACCGTCTGAAAGACATGAAGAACTTGGATGTTGCTGCCTTCGTTTTCCCCGACCTGACTGTGAAAGCAGAGGGCCAATACGTCATTAGATTCGTCCTGATGAACCTGGAGGAAGATGCGGGAATCTCAGGAGAATGGGTCACAATCTGCGAAACCGTATCCGAACCGTTTACAGTACACAGCGCGCGAACTTTCCCCGGCATGGCCGAGTCAACGCCTTTGACCAGAATGTTTGCCGACCAGGGGGTCAGAGTTAGACTGCGCAAAGACTCCCGGCAGTTGACGACAAAGAAGCAGAATAACAATCTCGCGGAAAAAATCGGAACAAAACGAGGCCGGAACGTCCATGACCATGCAGAGATGGAGCCTCATCGCGGTTCGGTGGCCAGCCCGGACAGGTCCTACTTCGACACCCAACAGCAATATGGCGATGTACAAGATGGGAAGAGACAACGCACCGCTTCTGGAGCCAACAATGCCTACCAGATGCGGCCTAGCATATCTACCGCGATGCCATACTCAACATACCCAGGGCTGACGTCAACGCCAGCTCATCATGCTTCGTTCATGACTGCTCCTCAGTCCCAGCAAGCTCTTTACGCACCGAGCTACCCGCGCGAGTTCAGTGCTGGCATTGGTATGGGACTTCCACGCGGTGGATCTACGCGGCTCGACACTCAGGTTGCACCATATCAAGGTGACATGTTTGCCTCTCCATCCGGCCACCATTCGCCTGGGAACCCATATGCATACGGAAACACGACAGCAGACGCATCCCCATCTCTGCAACATACCCCGTCACATTCCCATGTTTCCTACTTTCAAGGCGACCAACAGCTTCCAGCGTTGAACCAAGCTCTCAATTCGGGAGCAACACACGTCAACACCTCTCCTCAAGCACATTCGCAATCTATCCATACCCCAGTATCAAGTACGGGGTCCCCCATCGAGCAAGTCTATACCCATGCAGCGTCACAGTATCCAGGTGGGTACGTGACGCAGGCAAATGGGTCGTATGATCACGGAACGCTACGAGCCAATGGAATTAGCACTCCCGTGACAGGCGATATGCCCTCCGACTCAATGCAGGGCCAGTTTGTACCAAGCCACCTGATCGCTGTTGACAGCGTAGGTTTTCCTAAAGCTAATCCGGGGGCTTAACATGTCCCCGTCGTCCATCTTTGTTGAGCATGCTCCAAGCCACCTGCTTGCCCTCCTATTCGTCGGATTCGAAAACTGCAGCAAAGAGCTTTACACGAGCCTTCTTATTTGTCAAACTCAATTGTTTCGCCGTACCGCCTTCTAATCATACATATTGTCAATATTGCCTGCATCCTTTGGGCGCATTCGATCAGATCGCCATTCACTTTCTATCCAGAAGGAAAATTCTCAAAGTGCATTTTCTCCATGTATGCAAGACTGTTCATTATTGTGGAACTCAACGCCGCGACTGGGAGAGGTTTGGGTAGCGCTTTGCCACAGCGGAAGTTGTCGCATCTCTTTTCTGGTCTCCTTTCTTGCGCGAATTAGCATTTGGCTTATGATACCCCACACCGGACATTCCGATTCAGAGCAATCATTTCAGATCCTCTTCCCTTGTTTCCTTTGTTCCATTTTTGTTTAGACTGTCAAGGTGGATGGCAGTCAACACCAGGAGGTTTTTCTCAGGTTCTCAGTGTCAGCGGCTGAGCCCAGTTGGGGGTTTAAAAAGCAGGGTAGGATGGGTTTGCGACTCTTTCAAGGATAGATCACGTTAAACATATGGGATAGCATTAGATTTACAAGCATCACTGCACTATACAACCGCATACAAAATATGGCCTCGTTCCACTTTGAACATATTCAATCGCCAATTATAGCCTCCTATGAACTGGGATGCAAACATATCCTCGAGCACATCCCCCGCATTATTCGAGGCCCTGTGCATATTATCAAATTTGGCCACAACTGTCCCAGTGTTGCTTAAACAAGACAGTTGAACCATTCCACACTTACTGTAGCCGTAACGTCATAATCAATGTACAATTCTTTTGCCTGCTGAATTTCTGCCACTCATTATGATCTTAAAATATCCATCTTTAATTTTCCTGAGATGATCAGTCTGTGGAAAGTGGACACTGCCGCTCCTGAGCTGCACATGGTAACATCAACCATTGCTCTGTGGCTCCTCAGTAGTAGTCGGAGAAACTTCTAAGATTGCCCCTAACTCGGGTGTTTCTTTTCTCCATGAAACCCTCCGGCCAACAGCTCTTTGGCCCACGAATTTGATTCGCGCGAGACTTGCTACCTTCTGCTGGAAGTTCAGGAGACCATATATGGAATCACAGAAAGGAAAAATCTTGAGGGGGCTAAGGGTCGCTTGGCAGCCTGAATATACGGGAGCGAAGCTACTGTAACCATGGAACGTCTTATGCACATCACCCATTGGACTAAACGCTCACGCCATACGTGGCAGCCAAGGAATTCCTTAGCTATTTCCAATTTATTGTCTTCCAAGGCGCCGGGAAGGGAGAAAGAGCTAGCTGGTTCTTCGGTGTCCCGCTGAAGAGCTCAGCAAGGCAGTGCTGAACCAATCCAACTTCCAGGCGCTATGCCAAGCCTGTTTACTTGGGAATGCCCCAGGTGAAGCAAACCCTGGTTTTTGCAAAGAACGCACAGTAACAACCATGGTAAGGCGGCACAGGTCCTTGAGGAACTACCATAGTCAACTGGATACAGTGTAATGTGGCTCATATCGGAGCCGAGATTTGCCGCAAACTGTTTGCAGCCAGTGTTACTCGCCTTGGAATATTCTCGAGGAGTCCCACGGACCCCGCGGGCTGCTAGTAAACCCGTGTTGCATATTTGAAAGCCCTTCCAGTAACATATGATAGACCAATTGCAAGTAGGACAATCAATGGCGGAGAATGGCGTGGTTGGCCGCGGCGCCTTTGACCGGCGTTCCATCGCGCTGGGCTTGCAGCATCACCACATGAGAGACATGCATGGTGCAGTGACCTGGGCTCACTCAGCGGCGCAGTGGTCATGTTCCGCGACTGGCAGCAGTAAGATGTTACTCGCGATCACCAGATCCGCACGACCGTGACTGGGGAACAACGATCGGACGTTTCATGGGCCAGTAGCGGTGAGCCATATTGAAACGCCCTCTCCCTACAAAGAGAAGCTGCCATAATCGACCCCCCCTGGGAAAGCATCCTTGAAACAGGGACTGAAGTCTCAAAACATTATCGACGACCCTGTCAATCATTGCAAGGGCCTTGCGCATCTTGACAGCCCGGGTGGCTTGTGAGGATCATAAGTCGGCAGGGTTCCGAATAATTCCCCGACATCGCCAGCTCTCTCGCCTGTCAAATCAAACGGCTCACCCAGCATTTCCCTTCAACCCATGCGCAGAATTGACCCTTGGAAGTGGGTTGGGTAGGGTACTTTGTTGTGTTGCCATGCTCAAGGGGCTTTAGGGCAGAGTATGAAAAAGTCGATACGGTGCGAACTGCGATGTTGCAATACGGTATACCTGCGGGGGCCGCTACAACCTATCACAGCCCATGTAATAGCCCGGGCAGCCTCTAGGGATAATAGAAGGAGAATTTCTGGTCTTGAGGGCGCGCGCGCTAGCCTTGGCATGTCAAAAACGAACCGAGTTAGGTTTCAATAGGTCTTCGCTTAAGCATTCACGGGAGCTATTTTTGCGATTGACTTCGTATGGGAGTTCCGCGGTGGGGGAGGAGGGAGCGGTAGAGTGAGGTGCGGAAAAGTCGGGAATTCGAATGAAGACACCATCTTTGGGCTTTGAGGTGGGTTCTCAAAGTACACAAGCTTGTACGGAGTAATGGATACATAGGCCAAGGTAGTTAGTTTATTTTGGGGGTGTCAAAATGCAAGGCCCTACATGCAGCTTTGATGCCTGTGGTCTTCTACTTGGTTGTATTTCCCGACGGCTTCAGATGTAACCCCTCCAGGTTCGCGATACACTAGAGCATGGGACAATTTGTTACAGGAGTAACGTCTCTCAAGCTCTTACGTGAACACAAGCTGTTTCCTCAGGCCTCACGAAAAGCGCTGTACCGGTTTGTTGAAAAGGGCATGGAACGCTACCCGGAACCCGCTGCCACCACCAAGCGCACGCGGGAAGACGTTGGAGGTGCCGATACCATGATCGTCCTCGCGTCGTCAGAAACGTGCCATTTAGTGCCATCCGGCAGGGTCACCCTGGACAGCTTTCATCCGTGGCGCACGGAGCAGCGAGTCGGCTTTGAAGGCGAATATGCACTAAGCAGGACTGCGCCCAATGAAGAACACGGCAGAAATGAGCAGTACAACCTCGTCTAAACGTCCACTTACTCCTCATCCCATCTTTCCCCTCACCATTGTGTCAGACCTTTCAAATGACATATTGGTGTCGCCTAACTTACTCCAACCTTATATGCATGCCATGTGGTGAGTCGTGGCAGCATTCCCCAAATCTCATTGGGGACCCATCCCACTATTGCCATCCTCACATGTTGGCGTAGTTAGGCGTTAGGCGTCTATGCAGCAGCACGCAGTCTGCAAAGGCGATCGGCCGTTTTTGGCGCTTTACCGTTTTCCAAGACTGATCACCGACAGATTAGGCTTGGTTTGCCCCAACCTGGCGCACATCAAGTACATAATCCGGCCTAGCTGTCAACTATATCAGACCCCACATGGCTATAGAGAGGGGAAACGGACAAGGGCCCGTTGGGACGATCCTGCCAACCTCAGGGGTTGGCATCCGCGTCCCGTTGTTACATCGCTTTCTGATCATTGTCATCACAAGCCAATCGTCCCTTGGAAATCTCGCTTGGTGCATGTGGTGATGGCCCTCAGAAATTGCTCTGTTCAAAACAAGGACGTTGCTTTGGATTAACCCAAAGTGGCCGCGGGCTGCAGAGTTCGTCTTCGCCTGGACCAGGGCATTTCCAGTTTAAGAACATGGCTGCTCATTACCATGGTGCATACTCTGTAAATCGGTAGGGATTCGAATTGACTAGCAAGCCCGTTGTTCTGCATCATGTAGCCTTACCGGCCCCATCGGCGTGGGTACTGCCTGGTTCTTCGGGGTGATTGCACCCTGGGGCTCTACCACCGTGAGCAGCCACACACTACTCATCTCGCGTAGAGACTTTGCAAGCTTGTATCCCAGGTTTCGCCCTCCCAATAGCGCCCGTTACAGCTTTCATTGCCCTGAACCCACTTGTCACCGTACAATTAATTTGCCGAGTAACATCACAAGTGGCTATTATTACAAGTTAAGGAAAATAGGAAAATAACTAAATCCATCAATGAATCAGCGCAGCCGGTGCAAAGGCCGTTGCAAGTGACACGTCAATTCTCTCCGCATAGAAGATCGTAACTTTGGATCAGGTTCTTAGATAGACGTACACCTTGGCGAGCTGTACGAGTAACAGCGTCACAAGTAATCACAGCCCCCCTCTACCGTCGGGCGGCCCTTGCGGGAAGACCTACAACTTTTCAGACAGCTGTCCCAAACTGGTAGTGCCGTTACATTCCTTGGAACGTTCCGCAAGGGTTATTACCAACCTGGTACCCGTGGTACTGCAGTGCGCCTCTCGTACGCAACCGAATGCATGTCTAATTCTCGGCTCCCAAGATTGACACTTCCGCATGGCAGATTAGCATATTGCTACGACAGGCAAGCTCAAGAAGCTATGACCAATGGGTCGAGATGGCTCCGTGTGAAAAAGCGGAGACCAGCACCGAATAGGTATTCTGTCGTCCGAAGTAGTGGGCCGTTGCCAAATACTCCATCCAGGTTGTTGAAATAACGTATGACAATCGGACACTAGGACAGCGTGCGCATCGTGGGGCACATTGATGAGCCGCAAGAGGAACCATTGTGTAACTGTTCTCGACGTCTTGAGATGGCATAGCCACATTTGCGTTCTACATGACGGGAAGTAGGGAACTGCTACCTTAGAGACATTCCTAGCAATCCTACACGCATTGTACATCGACGGAATTGAAAGAAAGCTTTCAAGAAAACTTGTATCTACTTCAAGACGTCTACCGAGCACGTCTTAGTGCCGGAAATGCGGCTGATCCTTCCAACGGAAAATAGCTATTTTCATCATACGTCTTCCTCATCGACACACAAAGCTTCTTCTTGATGTAACACTGCCTTCTATTTTCCCGCTGGTGGGCCCTCGTTCCGGAAAGGTGCGGCCAGAATGCGGTGTGCGCTCTACTCCCGGTTTAGGAAACTGAGATTGCCCGTACTGCTTTCGTACGTAGCAGCAATCCAAGTGATGGTGTCGGAGAAAAAAAGGAACCACGATCGGTTGGCAAGCACATGGCAGCTGCACGTGTTACCTGTCAGTTTCGTCTGCCGGCATAAGGCGGACGAGCAACAATCTACCTGTAAATGGAAGGGGGGATCAAGCTGATAGCGGGGTGAGGCGCAGCTAGAAGGTATAATGCGTCGGCCATTATAGTTGCAAGGATAGAGGGACTTACGCATGACGTTCTTGTGTGCTCGGACACGTCGGCTAGATGTATGAAGCTTGAAAGAGATGCTTGGCTACTACCCTAAGAAACGCCACTATGTTAAAGCCCTCCCAATGAACTATACAGGATGACATTCTTGTCGAAAATGCGACGTTGCAATGATGCTGGCGTGGGATATATCCAGGCTGGATATAAGTTGTTTCAGACCATCATCATTAGTTACAGTGAAGCCTTGTATTATGATTACCCCGGTAAGAATTACAGAGAAACAGTTGTGACCTGCTTCATAAGTTTGAGACAATTCTTGTTGCACGCTGTCGCCAAGAGGAGAAGTTTGATCAAGGCCTTCCTCTCGCGGCATCTTATCGTGCATTGTCTCTAAGGCGCATGTAAAGTTAACGGATGCCACGTTTGGCATATTCCTTTGAGAGCGTTGTCCGAATTGGCCTGGACGTAGTCATGGGTGATGAAGAATAGGAGTACAGGGCCGTCTGAGTTTTTAGCCGTTACAGTAACAAATACACGCCGGTTGGCCAGAGTTATGATGCCCAATGAATTAATAACTGCTAAGACGGCAACGACATCACTGTTGTGTGAAAAGGCGCGATAGAACAAGTACTCAACGTTAAAATTCCATGAAGCTTTATAGTACGGTTGTTCGAAGCAAAGACACCAAACCAGCCCTTGCGGAAAAGCTAAGTATATCTTATACAGTTATTCGTTCACATAGAGAATATGATAAGCGGAAAGTCTGACTACAAACTTTGGGCTTGAGGAATTGGGAGACTCTAAAGCTGTAGCTAGCGAGGTCTGCACTGGTGCCCTTTAACAGAACAGTCCCGATATGCTATGGTGATGCTTTAATACCTACTTGGTCAAATCTTGAGTAACATTACCTTCGCCGACAACATTCAGTTCCTTTTAAAATTATGATTTCTCAACGTCTGCATATGAAAAAACATGGAGCTATCTTGAAACTGTTTGGGAAGTTGCAAAGATGTGATGTTTCCTTTGGTCATTTCATATTATCAAGGACATCATTCTTGCGGCACAAATGTCTGTAGTATGCACACATGCGTTCATACCTCAACGCACCTGCAGTTACATGAAGCTTGTGCATCTCATTTTTGTTCAGACCTTTGAACTCTAATTCGTACTAACATTTCCGACGTATGCTTACCTGGTTCTCGACTTTCCTCTTACTTCCTCTATTTGCGGTTACCTGCCGTTCATGCATAGTAAAGCATCATTGGGTCTCTCGTTATTTTAGAAAAGAATCTCACGGCGTTGGAAAATCTGTTTTGGAATGTATTCGGGGATAACAAAGTACTTTCCAAACACTCTATGTATACTCAGAATGATCCTTGTAGGCTGTCTGGATTCTATGCTTAGACTCCGTAGATGACTGCCTGCGTGAATGAAGGGGACCATTGATATGAAATTCTCGCGAATAATTGTATTGAATTTTAGTTGTCATTCCATAGGTCTGTGGAGAGCACAAAAGAAAGCATGCCATTGATTTAATTCCCATAGTGACTCAAAGCATTTTGTGTTCCTCTTCAGTAAGACAAAACATACTGTCTCCCAGGATAACATTATGCGCAATGACATTTTCCTGTGATAAACGTAAACAAAGCACGAATCCTGCTGACCTCACGAGTCAAATCTACTAGTCCTCGACAATTAGCATTTCGCAATTAAGCCATAATATATATGTATGTTGAGTCTCGATAAATGTAACCATTGTATTGGACTACTAGATACTATGGCATGACCTGACTCTCTACTGTGACTTTTATATATAACTGCGCATAGGATGTACAACGGAGAAATCCGGGTACAAGCAATAGGTCCATAACACTTGGCCAATATTAAAGCCAATTAACTTAAACTGAAAGCCCATAAGTGAGCCTCTCCAACATCGTATGATAGCTGAAGGTATTATCGCAATTTTCATAACCGTGCTGACCAGAAACTCTGGTGAGGATATCTGTCTGTTCCTCTGACTAGTCGCAGTGTGATGAACATCTGCAGTCATTCCGTGGTGACAAAAGCAACGAAGTTTTCTCGACTCAAAGCATATGTTGGCGTTATATATAATCAAAGACTAATTGCAGTACTTCATTAACCTAGTTTGTACATAGTAGAAACCGCCCTCTGTCGATGTGGCTCGCAGAGGATGTCTTTCAAGGTTGGGCAACATTGATCATGCAAGCAACAAACGTCATGCGATTGCTTACTATGAAATCACCCAAAACCCAGGTATGCTTCTGGATGGAAGTGAATATAGCATGACAAGGATGTCGGAGGGTTTACAAAAGATCATGCTTATTTTTAAGTCCTTCAACGCTCAAGAGAATCAATACCATATTTCATTTGACCATTATAGGGGCAACATCTGATGCCTTTCATGCGATGGCAACGCAATTTCATAATCTGATCAGGTTGAAAAATGCGGTGATAAGAGTCTTAGCTAGTTGAAACATCACATTGTAAATCACTGTAGTGTAGTAGATTGCTCAACCACCCTCCGTATAAGTTGCAGTTATAATGGTAATATCTGGTCAGAAGTGCGCATCACCTTTAGTAATGATTAACGGTCGGGTTGTCATTTAACTCCTCTAGCCTCACACACAGTGAAATGCTCCCTCGGCTTTCAATCACGAGATGGAGCATTCAACTTAGCGGTGGAACCAGCTCCTACGGTGGCGGAATTGTATACAAGATACAATAAGAAAATGGTGGGATATAAAGCAAGGAGACAACCAAAAAAAAAAAAAAAAAAAAAAAAGAAAGAGAGAGAGAGAGAGTACGGTTTCAAGTACTAAAGATCCGCGCTGGCGAATAAGCTGCCGAACTATTAAGCCCCTAGAGAACAGCCTCTCGCTTTACCTTGGATACCTGTGAACAGCTTGAAATGTGTTTTTATGAGATTCTGGGTGAGAGCTGGTAATTCATACATGGCCTATCAGTAACTGACCGGTTCTAGGGACTCTGCAACGGACTTTTGGTCAAGAACCCTACTAGGGAGCTTTTGGATCAAGGCCAAAGGTACTAATTGTGAGGCAGGGTTCACTATGATATTCCAAGTGTACCTCAGACTGGAGCTTCTAGGCCTCCAGCCGTTTGCAAAAGGCACAAATTCCAACAAGTGTGAGCTCTATCAGGACCAACCACATATATTCTTGGTGAATATACCAAACCGGAAACCTAGATAACATCTATCTTTACGTCATCGGATTCGACGTCGCTGGGTCATTTGTGCATGAGCCTCACCTCCCCTTACCCACAAGCTCCAATGTGGGGAATGCATACGGGCTGAAAGGTGTGTGTGGGACGAGGACAAGGAAAGTTATGCACTATTGCTGATCCTCAGTGGCTACCTACCATGTACAGCCATTTGCACCATGCTGGTAATCAGGTAGGCGCAGACAAAGGGAGAGAGCCAGGCTTCTCCGGCAAACATTTGACAATGCCCTTCTTGAATTATGCTCAACGGCGCGACCAATGTAGTTTGCAGGTTGCAGATTAAGGGGCCGTCAGCCGGGAATAAGCCTATGACGATCAGGCGGGCCAGGGCGGTCTGTCTAAGCAGGTCGGGTACGCGGCAAATCTCCATGACGCGGTCATCATCCATGCCTGTGTAACTTAGGTAATTCCCCGTAGCGATCCAGACAGTGGCCGAACCTCACGCGTCGCGCTTTCAACGACCCAGAATGCGAAATTGCTGTTCCTGGAATCAGGTTTTGGGGATCGTTCTGGATTTGGAGTTTGTTCCTGAGTTGTCCATACTTCTAGATCTTGATCTTGTCTACATACATTAACTTTTTCCTTCGCTTGTTCCTGTCAATCTCCTTGGACTGTGCTTGTGCCGACATCCGTTTCTGCTCGGGAATACCCTAGACGCCGAGCCTATTGACCCGCGCTTGGCATTGTACCCTTGACGTCATTGTACCTTTCAACAGCCTTATTCGATTACGAGTGACCTTCACGTCCGGAGGAGTGGTGAAGATGGTAGGGAAACATGGGGCATTTGCAGTCAGTGGCCAGAGCTATGGTGCCGGACGCGACGAACGCGGCTTGAATGTTCGCGATCCTGCTAGAATCCGGCGGCCTCAAGATGACCTGGAGAGAGGCCTAAGTCACCATGATGGGAACGCATCCGGGCGACCACGTCCGCGACTGTTTGGCTTTCAAGATATTGCTCGCACAGCCCTCGAGGACCGGCGGCGGGACAATCTGAAAAAGTCATTGCTTCATGGGATTGAAGGCCATGGTCTCGAGAAGTTCCGCGTGGATGAGAAGGAGCTAAAGGCAATCAAGAACAAGAAGGTCAGGGCGTTCTACGAGGACCAGAACGAACGCCTGAATGACTGGTTGGAAGTCGACGCCGTAGTCATGGCGATCGCTGATGATGTGCTCGAGTCAATGGACCCTGACCCGGATCATGATGGCGACCAAGAAAGGAGAGGCGGGCTGCAGCATATGCATGGCAACATTGCTGAGTTTCTGCCGGACGAGGAGAAGCACCGCCGCGCAACAGCAGCCAGGAGGTCGAAATGGGCAATCAACATCAACGTCATTGCCAATGTTCTGCTCCTCGCCGGTAAGATTGTTGCTGTGCTATCGACCGGGTCCTTGTCTTTGGTTGCATCGCTGGTCGATTCAGCCCTCGACTTGTTGTGCACGCTCATCATTTGGACCACGAACAAGCTGGTCGGATGGCGACTCAAGGCGCTGAAGAAACGATTTCCTGTTGGCCGTCGGAGACTGGAGCCGATCGGTATCCTCGTGTTTTCAATAATCATGGTCATCTCATTCTTGCAAATCTTGAAAGAATCTGTCGAGAAGATCGCTCCGCTGAAGGGGGAACCCGAGAAATTGCCCGCCACTGCCATTGCCGCCATGGTGGCGACAATTGTAATTAAGGGAATCATAGGCTTGGGTTGCTATCCGATCAAGAGCACTCAAGTCCAAGCTCTAGCACAGGACTGTAAGACTGATGTGTTCTTCAACACTCTGTCCTTGCTCTTCCCATTCATTGGCGAGAAGGCAAATGTTTGGTGGCTGGATGTAAGTTTCGCCCGTGATGTGATATCTCGACCGTTGACTAACGAGAATAGCCTGCTGGCGCTGGTGTCTTGTCGCTGTTCATCATTTACGATTGGGGCCACACCTGCTTTGAGAACATCACGCGGCTATCTGGCGAAGCAGCATCGGCGCGTACGCAGCAGAAGCTCATGTACTTGGCATACCGTTTCTCACCGGTGGTACAAGGGTTCAAGAGTGTCACAGGTTATCACTGTGGAGATGGCGTCTGGGCCGAATTCGACCTCTTGCTGGACGAGAAGACCTCGCTTCATACGAGCCATGATGTTGCTGAGACACTTCAATACTGTGCCGAAGGCCTGAATGAAGTAGACCGTGCATTTGTGACTACAGATTATTCATCTAGCGGACCTATTGGCCATGCTGAAGATGCAGAGAGAAACAACTGAACCTGTTGTGTCTGATAATGTAACCTCTAGACAGATAGATTTGATAGATGTCTTGGTTAAAAATATCGTTCGAATTGAAATTGCAACGCTAACCTCTTCGGCACGCCGATCCGGTGGGAGTCTATCTTCTATGTCGATGTGCACTATGTGCCCTTACAGAACATGCACGCGAGATTGCCTTGTTCCCGAATGCCGTGCTTGGCGGGACACCAAGAACTGTGAGTACAACCATGGTGATTCAAGATTGTGTCTAATGATTCCATACTTTGCCAGTAGACGGGCCAAGTGATAACCCTGTTGGGGTAGTAATGAACTTGTGACTTGTATCTAGACCACTGATGTTGATTGTAGGTAGAGGGGCAGGCTATCACAGGCCGTATGAGTAGCAATCCACGAGTATCAATTTCCCCAGACAAGTACAACCTGGATCTAGAATTTGGAGCTTAAAATGAATTCAACCAAGTCTTGAATGGAGCAACGCGCTAAGGCTATAACGAAGAGACTTCGTTTCTACAAAATCCTTCAAGCTGCTCTGTCCAACTCATGTCGCGACAAAGATGAAGTATAATGGTGATGACGACAAAGGGCTCTTTTCGCTGATGAATGCCGAATGGCTCTTTCTGATGTTATTATTCGCGTCCGATTGGCGGCTTCCACTGTCTTTGGAATGTTGTTGACGCCCTTTCTCGAATGCGATGTTTGCAAATAGACCCGATACATAGCGGCGGCAGTTGGGTGTTCGTGTTGCGTTGGGAAGTTCTTCCCCGCTATTTCATTCTGCCCCATCTCGTTGGTCACTGGTGGACAGGCTATCGCCAGCATGGGTTAGTTGCCAAGCTCCCTGATCCGCCGGCTGCGTGGCCTCTTTGTGACATCAGCAGCGTCAAGGGGCTTGTCTAGCGGTCGCAATAACCAAGGTATGGCGCAATTAGCTAGAAAATGCGAACAGCGTGTGCGATCTCTCTCTATATCGTTCACAATGCATCTTAGCTATTGGCATCTGAACTCGCTCGTAAATAACTGTATGGTCCTAACTAGTCTAGATATAAATTAGATCCGGTTGGGACTGCCAGTGCTCGGCAAGCCATTCCGCCGTAAGATTGACTTTCAGTGCCGACTGTGCCGCGTAGGCGCAATTCCCGCTAGTTAGAGGTCCAACCCATGTAGGATCGCTGGAGGTAGGCCCAATGATCTGTTCCAGCGCTCTTGGCGGGCTCCTATCCCTGGACTGTGGCAGGGTTGGGGCCGCGGAATAGTGGCTCTGAGATCCCTGACTCGGTTCGTAAAACCAAGATTTAATGACATTTCAATCTACACGAGGTCATGACGACCTCAGGTTGTTCCCGTTTCCTATATCTTCGTAAAAAGGGGGATACAGTGCGCACCGTCGTTCCATTGTGTAATCGTGCTTCCATTGTCGGTTCCTCTAGTCCTCAGTTCTATATTTCTGTTCTGTCGGTCACTCTGCTCTGTTCCTCGGCTGGATTCTGCTGTGTTTTCGAAGATACCCAACGTCATAATGGAGAAGCTCGTGGAACGCATATCCACCACGCCCTACGTCTCGGCTCTTGTCGCAAGACGGCGATTCCTTTTCGGTGCATTTGTTATTTTCTTAATATTAATAGGTGAGTAAAGCGTCACAGGGCTCAAGGGTCTACCTGACTTGGAAAAGGCTAACCGGTGGCGCATGCAGCCGTGTCTTTGACCGAGAAGGAGGACGTCAATGCCTGGTCGCGGACGCAGAGCGGCTTCAGCCACCTTGCTGCCGCCAATGGAACGAATTCGAACGGTTCGATCCCGATACAGAGCTCCCCGCTCATTCCCATAGGCCAAGGGTACAAGAGGCCGGGCTACGAACTGCCGCTCGCAGATGGAATCCCACTCCGAATCATGGCGATTGGCGCATCGACAACCCGTGGAGACGAAAGTTTCGACAATAATGGATTCCGACGACCGATTCGAGAATACCTGACTTCGATTGGAAATCCGGTCAACTTTGTGGGCACACAGCGCGTCGGAAATATGTCAGACAACGAGATCGAGGCTTACCCTGGTGCTCGCACCGGCCAGATGCATCACCATGCGCTGGATGTAGTCCCCAAGACCAAGCCGAACGTTGTACTTGTGAACGTTGGAGCCAATGACTGTTTTCAGCATTGGGATATCCCTAACTTCTACAAGCGCTACTATGCCTTTGTTGACTACCTGCTCACAGCATCTCCCAGAGCGACTATCGTGATGGGCACGTTGCTTCCCACCACAGAGACGGAACGGTTCAATGGGTCTGCCGATGTTACAGTAGTGAACCAGCAGATGCATCGTCTATACCAGATCTTCAAGAATGAGGGCAGACCCGTTGTTCTGGCAGACATGACCGGGCCTGATGGAATTCAAGATTCCGATCTCTCGTGGGATGGAATGCACCCGACGTCGGCAGCGTACATCAGAATGGGGCAGATCTTACTCCGATCCATGATTGAAGCCGATGCGCGCGGTTTCCTGCGACCAGCAGAGCCAATCCACGGCGTTCTGCAAGACGGGGACTTGGAGCATCAGGACGAAGACTATGGCAGGTGGGCCGATGAGCAAAGGAGACTAGAGGCCCACAGGAAGAAAGTGGAAGAGCAGGAGGTCATGAAGATGACCGAAGAACTGAAGCGATGGACCACCTCGTTGGAGGGTTCTTTGGAACTGAAGAAGCATGAGGCGGATATCGTGCCCAAGTTAAGACGAGACAGGTAGGCTCTTGCGTCACGAATTCAAGAGCATTACAGAAACCTGAAGAGAAGCAACTCTGTGGACGCCTCGAATACGATTCTTGCCTGGATACTTGGATTACTGGCCACCTGGATACAGTAAGTAAGCGCCGTGTTGTGTGTAACCTGGCGGACTGACTGAACGCGTACTTCCAGGAGTAACTTCTGAAATTCGTACGAGGCCTAAGGGATCGCAATCTTCCGGTACATCCCTTGTGCTTCAAGAGCAGAGAAGATCATGTTTGAGAGGGGTAATTCGCCCAGCCTTCGGGCGTTGCTTGTGTACTATTGCTCAAACTACAAGGAAGAATGCATAATGGCGTTTGAGTGTACACTTCGGGGTATCTTCATTCATCAACGTCTTTCAAGAACCCCTCTCGTCTGTATGGCGACTTTACTCGTCACTGGCGCTGTCGGAAGCGTCCTCGCCTCGGCTCTTGAAGGACCCCTTGCCCTTCTTGGCCTTACCCTTGGATCCCTTGCCCCTGAGCCCCTCAGGAACCTCCTTCCGGACCTCGCCATCCTCAAAGAGCAGGCCGATATCCTGTCGGCGAGCGACTGCCTTCTTCCACAGGCTCTTAGGAACCTCGTTGGCAGTTGCGATGCCGCCAGCAGCGGTGCGCTGCCAAACAATGCTGGGCTCAGACTCCAAAGCAGTCCGAAGGTGGACCCAGATGCCGATGTCGGCATCGCTGGTCCGGTTGGGGCGAGACTCGCTGCCGTCAGCGTCAATGGTGACTGGTGTGAAAGTAATGTACTTGGCGCCGGCAGCAAGTTGGATGCCGTCCGAGGCGAGGATGTGAGGGTAAGCCTCGTACGAGGTCTCATAGACCACGAACTCGGGCAAGTCCTCAGCATCAGCCTTGAGGGGTTCGCCCTCGAGAATGGGCGCCTGTACGCTGTCCCGCTTGTGTGTCCCGCGGATTTGGAATGACTCCGTGGCCTCAGCATCGCTTCCTGGACGCTGGCGTAGCTCGAACCGAGCCTTGGATCCGACGGATTCAATTCGGCGAAGGTCTTGAAGTGTGGTGCCGAGGTCGGTGATTCGCGAGTGTTGAAGCTGTTAAAAGAGGTTATGTCAGTCATAGGTTCAGTAAGATATCTTGTCTCTACTGTTACTCACCAGGTCAGACACAGGTACCCAGCCATCATCGGTTGAGACGAGGCGGTCTGTAGATTCTTCCTCTTCCTCCTCGCTCTCCTCCTCGACATCGCTTTGGAGGACTGCGCGCTTCAGCACGAAGGACACAGCCTTGGAGATGGCAACGTCTCGGTTCTCGAGAACATTGTATCTGTTCTTCCCCTTCATGCTAGCAGCTCTGCTTCGGCCATGACGAGGGGAGTGCTGGACGAGGGCACTGGGAGGAAGAGTGCCTCCGTTCTGGTTGATGGCGGAAAGGGGAATGAGGACGGATGCTGCGGCCATCTTTTCTTCTAATTACAGATAATAAAACAAGAATCAGTTTTATCAACTGCAGAAGTATATTGCAAAAAGTATGTTGTGTTAAACGTAGTTGAAGTGTTCCAGTTGTGATGATAGTCGAGGACTGGCCGTGTTGTACACAGCAACGAGGGGCACTTATACACTCCCCCTGACCGACACCGGCTACTCCAGCGGTGCTTCCTTGGGCATCCATCTTGGGTAGGTGACTTGCATAGCGGGCGTCTTCACCGCCGCCAGTTGTCCTTTGTCGTGCATTCCCTCTGCTGCAGGTTGTGTCTCCACCGAGCCCGACCTGCCCTGTCATGGCCTGTCGCGAGACCAAGCATCCCCACACCGCATCCACTTCGGGTTGGCGGTGTCGTCCTTCTCGATCTCACATCCCGCAATCCCGCATTTAGGGAGATGGAAAGCCGGGTTTACATCGAAGCTATTGGCACCCGATTATGTCTGATAACGTTTTGAGTTATCACAAGGCGGACCGGGCTTTTGGCGGGGTCGTAGCCCAGAGTCCAGAATCCGAGGGGTGGCAAGGCGGGCAAGGGCGGCTAAACATCGACAACTCGGTAGACGAAACACGAAGCGCAAGAGACAGCCAGACGGCGCGCCAAGAGGTACCAGCAACACCGCGAAAAGTGGGCATCACCCCAACATGACCAGAGCACGCGACTACGGCCAGGTTAAAGGTGCAGTCGAGGGGTCGAGGCAAGTCATTAGTGGAACTTCTCCTAGAACGCCTAATTGCGGATAGACACATCAGCTGCGACCTACGTCTGGTCTAGCCCCAAACGCGAGAGTCGCTTATCTGGCAACTTGGTTGTTGCCAATGATCGATAGCACCGAGGCTAGAACGAGAGTGTTCGAAGTATACGAGAGCCACGCGCCGTTACCTGCGACCATTCCCGCATCAAGTCTTCGGCCCACGGCATGACGTGATGCATCAGTTAGGGGTCGTGTCATCCGTCCCTGATATGATTCCTGCAACTTACGTTACAGCCTAACGTGTACCCACAGCTAAGAACCTAGCTGGGATACTTGCAGGTTGCCTAGTGAGGTCGGAGTGCTAATTAAAGTCTTACTGGTAGCTTCCAGCCCAGTCTTGTTAATGAATCGTTGGCAGTAAGCATTGCAAGTGTTCTCGAGTCCAATCGGACTTCCATTTCAACGCGGATGGAGATCCCGGGTTGCCTGATGGGTCCCAACAGATGCCCTTGGCCTTGAGAATCGTGTAGCTTTGAGATTTGTCTTTTTTCAAGGAGGGTCAGCTTGTCTCCACCGTCCCTTGCCCAATTACGAGGTCCAGTATACTATGTTTAGGGTATAGAGGTTCATTACCCGGCGCTATTAGAGCGTTGTCTAGAGGCTCAATATGGTTAATTTACTATTTTCCCAGACGCGAGCAATACCATAGTTTTGTATTTTAGCACTCTTTTCCATCGCAGGCTTGAAATAACATGATTTTGTCGTTCCGACCTCGGATATAGGACATCTTGGCGTGGCATCTCCCTTGAATACCTGTCTTTAACTCATTGGTGAGCGATGTTGCTGCTGATTGATAAGACATACATTGGGTTTACTCTACCACGTTCTAGGTATTGTGGCGAACTGTGCCTTGAACTTCACTTCTAAATAATAATCATGCCACAAACAAGAAACTAAATACTAAGTAAGCCTAGTATCGCGTAACGTATAACTTCTTTTTGTCTGCGGCTAGCCTTGATGATACTGATAGGTCATGGCTGGAATTACCGTTCTATGGCTCAAAATCACCGGCAGTGAAGTGATATTGTGTTGCAGTATTGTTTACCTTTCGCTAGCATTATACAGGAGACAGTCCAATGTGAACATTTTATATCAGATTGGTCTGAGCCCTTTATCGATAGGCCAACGCATCACTGAAAAAACCCGCGTATCCATGATACATTGCTTGATAAATCAGTTCCGTCTCTGCTGTGCACAGACATCTCTGTCAAACGGCGAGCATGCAAACATGTTTCCTTTAGGTCGGTATAGTGTCACTTGTAAAAAGATAAAGCTGGGCCAGTCCCCTTGACGATCAGGTCTAACCCCTGATGGTGAGCTGCGACCATTTGGAACAAGATCTATCACACGGTTACATGCAGTCAATTTCTGCTGACGCGCATTGAGAAGCGCTTGCGAAGCATTCATGCTACAAGTCCGTTTGAGAACGTCACCGATGATTGATATTGGTCATTGTTAGTGCTACCGTCAGAATGAGGCTCTTAGGTGTAACAGAAGCGGGGAGCTACTGGTAGTGTAACTGGATGTCGGTGAAGTTCAGTGGGGAAGTACAGTAAACCCTTAAGCTTGGCGGTCGCTGTGCCGTGAATCTCCTGACCAACCCACTCCTCGCACATGGGATTCCCTATTTTCACGACCAACTCAACTCATCTGCAATTTGCAGATTAAACTTTCCATTTCTCGTAGTCTGGGAAGTACTTATCGTGTATTCTGTCGGCGTATGCCAGCACAGTGGGAAACCCCCTTACCACTTTCTGCGAATCTGGAGCCGCTCTGCAGAGCAATACTGATACGATGAAGCCGAACAACGTCGCGTCCGCTTCGGTTGGACTGTCACCTCCTAACACCCAAAATGGCTCATTCGGCTTGGCCCTCTCAGATTTCGACCGTGATGCGATGAGTAGGTCGTTGACAGCCACCCAGATCTCTTGCCGGAATGCCGTAATCTCTTCGGGTGTAAAGCGTCCGGTGCCCTGGCCATGTAGTGTCGCGACCGTGCTACGATACACCATCATGCCTACGAGGAGACGCACAGGGTAAGGTAGAGCGTGAAAGACATGATCGCGCATGGTATAGTAGTTTTGCGTCCACCTTTCCCAGGTCTGACAGGTCATATTAGTTCCCATTTCTACCTCTATGCGTCTCAACTGCACCTTATGCAACGACTCACATGATAGAAATAAAGCTTATCCTCGAGCAAGGCCTGCAGGGCCATATCTTGCGCCTTCACAGCCGGAGTGAGCTCTGCATTGAAGTCCGGTATCACATTCCAATCCGAAAGCTTTTTGATGATCATTGTTGAGTCGCTCAGCTGCGTCACGTCGCCTCTTGACGCAGTTGAGTGCTCACTGTACTCAATGTACGGAATTTTCCCCCTAGGGGCCGTCTTTGGAGAGCCTGCGTCCACCGTGTACTTGATGCCAGCAAATCGAAGACGGGCTTCCAATTTGACGACAAATGGAGACCAGACATGCTTGCCATAATCTTTCCAGCCACGGTAGATGGTTATACTCGGCGGGATGTTGCTTGCAGCTGTGGACATGGCTGCGTATGTGTTATCCGAGGTTGCTGGTCGCATGTGTAAAGTTAGAAGCTCATATAATTCCACAGCGCGGTTCGAATTATCCAACAACGGATCGCCTATGGTTCGCTTTTTCTCTTAACAGGATCATGTTGGCAAGAAGAAACACCTCAGGTTCCGTGTCTTCATAAAAGCTTGGATTGGGAAATCGAGCTCCTTCGCTTCGCGCTTTGTCGCACATTTCCAAAAGTGCGTGTGGCGTGGATCGGTCTTGAGCTGAACCGACCATTCATGCGGCACATGGCCTAGTAAGCAACTAAGCTGACCCTGGTTAAAACAGATAGAAACAAAGCTACCATTTGGCTGGATCTCGTTCTATTCAGAGTCACTTGTCGAAAAGAAGTAAACATAATGCTCCTCATATTGATCCCTATTGTTACTTGGTTGGACAAACTGCAGGTGGCAATTACGGGGTAAGCGGGGCGCACCATTCTCATCCATTTCATTGCAGCGGGGTGAGATAACAAACTTGGGTCCGACAGGCACCAAGACATCCGGACAGAGCAGAAACCTCGAATTTGAGCTTTGGTTTACACCTACAGGCTTTGGTTTCTACATTCTTCCTAGTGACATCATCTTCTCCCACTGTTCCTCCCCGTTGATGTAGGCTCTCTCGATCGATTACAAGCCAGCAAAACCAGCAGTGGGTGGGTGAGTTTCTTTGCCTGGCCCAGAGCTGTAAGCAGGCATCCAGTTCACCCCGCGAACCTCTTTCACCCATTGGCCCTTGCCCATACCCATTTAAATCATACGCACTACATTGAGATCTCGACTTGCGATTTACTGGCGGTTCGATGGCCATCTTCCGCGCCAAGCAATGTATTCAACGGATACCTCCGGTAGTTCACTGACTGGTCCTGGTAGTCTTTTTGTAGCGCCGAGATGAGTCGTTGCCGCCCCATCTATGTTCCACTGTCTCAATTGCCCATAAGCGGCCGACTTACAACAACGGGCATAGTGGCAGAGTGGTCTAATGCGTGAGACTAGAATTCCAAAGCTATCTCATCTCCTCGGAGGCACAGGTTCGAATCCTGTCTATGTCGCGCCCGTGCTCGGCTAGCTCAGTTGGTTAGAGCGTCGTACTAATATCTCCTGTAATGGAAATATCAAGTTTATGCGAAGGTCCTCAGTTCAATCCTGTGGCTGAGCAGTTCTTTTGCCATCCCTCTCTGGTTGAGAGGGGTATTCTTTTTGTTTTTATTTTTCCTACTCACAGGCAAAGCAAGCTTAGTTAGTCACTGCGTGTTGTCCCCAATCCATAACACAAACTTCATAAAGGATGAATGCTTAGCCTACACACTAAAGAAAATACAGTTCCGGGAATATGAAATGGCTATGCATTCGGGAAGACGCGGGGAAGTGGGGCGCGATTATAATAAATAACTCGCACGATTGGTATCGAATTCGGTATGTTTGTTTCTAAGATTGATCCTTCGAGACTTCTGTTCGACTTGCTCGCTAGCAACACGTTTGAGTGGTTGAGAGCAGGGTCGTTGTAGGCGAGAGGGCACATTGTCATGGCAAATGTCAAGATCGCTATCGTTGGTGCCGGCGTTATTGGGCCTCGGCATGCCGATGCTGTTGCCAATAGCCCAGAGGCTGAAGTGTTCGCTGTGGTTGACCCGACATCTGTTGGCAGCACATTGGCCTCTAAACTTGGGGTACCTCACTTCGGCTCAGTGACAGACTTGCTGGACTCAGAAACCAAGCCAGATGCCGCCATCATCTGCACGCCAAACCATACTCATGTCTCCTTAACCAAGCAACTCTCGGCTGCTGGCGTTCATGTCCTAATCGAAAAGCCGGTTAGCACTGACGTTGCTAGCGGCAAGGAACTGCTGGAACATATCAGAAAGACCAATGTTAAAGTCCTAGTAGGTCACCATCGAAGGTTCAATCCGTATATGGTCGCTGCGAAGAAAATCGTTGCTTCTGGTTCATTGGGACGGATCGTGGGCGTGAACGGACTCTGGGCGCTGTGCAAGGCGTCCGAATATTTTGACCCGCCTACGGAATGGAGAAGGAACCAGACGGGCGGCGTCATGCTCATCAATATGATCCATGAAATCGACCTCCTTCATTATCTTTTCGGTGCAATTGCTTCGGTCCACGCTGAGAAGACGATCTCCTACAGAGGCCACGAAGCCGAGGAGGGCGCAGCACTGACTCTGAGGTTCAAATCTGGGGCTGTCGGTAGCTTCTTCATCTGCGATAATGTCCCGTCGCCGTGGAACTTTGAATCTGGCACGGGCGAGAATCCTCTGATTCCCAAGACGGGGCAAGACTTTTATCGCATTTTCGGCACTGAGGCCTCTCTGAGTGTGCCAGATATGTCAATCTGGTCATACAAGGGTACACAGAAGTCGTGGCACTCGGAACTTAGGCAAAAGCGTGCCCCAGTCTCCGAGGGCGTGCCGTTTGAACTTCAGCTAAGCCACTTCTGCCGAGTCATCCGTGGAGATGACACACCTACCTGTACCGCTCAGACTGGTCTTGCAGCTCTTATCGTTTGTGAAGCCATCAAGAAAGCTTTGGAAGGCAATACTACAATGGAGATTGAAGAATACAGCTTGTGAGGGTGCGTGGTGTACATCAAGTTGAGCTTAGTGGATATAGCCACGGTAAAGCTAAATGCATAATTGAATTTCGCGATCATCAAAACTTTCAATTAACTTCTCATGTGATTATGCTAAGAGGTGGTGAGGATAACTGCAGATTATGACGTCGTGAATAGTCAAATAGAGGAGAAAAGGCGACTATCTAGAGCAATGCAGAGTTGGAACTTGGCTGAATTGTACGTATCGAGCTGGAGTTGGCGAAATGTTCACATTTGATTCGAATACGTAGACCTACTGGAGTGGAAACTTCCACAATGTTTCTTATTTCGTTAACGATTGAAAATGCCTGGCGTACAGCAATGGAAGTCCGATACGAGGATCTGTGGGTACTTTCCACCAAAGGCCAATGTTCTAGCCATACGAACCCAAAGGTTACGGGGCTGAGAGACCTGAAATAGGTCTCCAAGCCGTGGAGAACATCATGAAGAGTTGTCGCAGATTTGAATTCGATTCGATACATTCGCTGCTTTGTAGGGTGGACTCATCCGGCTACATCCACTCCGAGAGGTCGAGGTTACGTCGGCATACTGGTGTCACGCCATGACAGAAGGGCTTGGCCAGGTGCGGTGTGAAGAAGTACAAAGCCATTATGCAGGCCTTACTTGAGGGATACTTTCTGTAAGTAGGGAGGTGGTACAGCAAGTTTGTGCAACAAACCCTGTGCCATAACGCCTTTCTCAAAGAAAGAACCAACAGGTATATAGATTGGCCCCTTCGGCTTGGCTGCCGTAAAATTCTAGTGAACAGAGCCCAACTTTCACTAATAGGTTCCGAACCTGTCTGCTGTCTGGCTCACGAGCACGCCAGCCCATCGGCGGTCAGGTGCTGCACTCGCTTGCCACGCCTGCGTTTGAAACAGGGCCTTCACTTAGAACAGTGCTTGGAGGGTGATGCATGCTTCTGGGACAAAGGCCAGGGTTCGGAGGGGGAGCAATGATGATCTTCGGCTAAGAATCCATTCGGGGAGGCCTGGTTCTATACGTTCGAGTCATAGGCCATTATCCGGGGGGTTTTTTTTCTCCTTCCAGAAGCAAGCGCTCGACGACGCCGGCTCAGGACCCTCGGCGTTCGTATTCGGTAATATCAACCTAGTTACAATGCTGGACATACTTTAGGCTCACACCCAAATAAAATGTATTGGGGACAGCCAGTGGCAACGGCTATGGGCGAAGCTGCGGAATGGCGTGAAACAAGAAGCATATGGCCGAACAGTGTCTCGGCTATTTCGGATTCACTAGGTACATTGTCTTGGTATAACGCCTTCATGTCTGGGAGATTATCAAGCTTCGGCGCGTACTTGATTGAATTGGCTTGGTGCCTCCCTCCTTCCAATTGTACACCATGAGAATGAGTTTTGGTGAATGAGTTTTGGTGAGATGAGTAATCTATTAGGGCTGCGTCGGTATATTATGGCAGTGTTCTTTTCATTAATTGCATGATTGCCAACCCAATGTTCACTGCGCATATGGTTCAAAATTTTATAGCTTTTAAATCGAAGATGAGATAGAAGTAGTAATACTAATTATGATTATATAAACTGTTGTTCATATGCTACTGTGTGGCTGATGGGATCCGTGGCTCTACGTGGCCTTGCACTGGTTGCGCCCACGAATCCTCTCCTCTCTGCCCTACGGACGAGCAGAGAGATTGTACATCTCATTGTTTTACCATCCAATAATCTCAAGTTGTATCAGTCGTCATTGAGAAGGCAAAAATTAAGTTGCTGTGTAACAGTCCTGATTTGTGCATTTTACTATACAGCAAGGGTTTATGCTTCTCCTGGGCTAGTTCTAAGCTCCTCACCCAGCTCGGGAAACCGTTTGATGGCTTTATCCACCTGAGCTGTGTATTCTATATGCAATTTGTATAGCTCCAAACGGTCAAGGCTCCAATATGTCCGGCCGCCAATAATGATCTCTGGGTTATAATCTTCGCTGGCCCAAATGACAGCATCCAGCAAAACGCCGTCCTCCTCGGGAATTTGTAGGGCCATACGCAATACTCGTTTGAAGTCACCCATCTGTTCCCCGATAATACCAATCCGCAAATGCCTAAAAACGCGGCAAAATAATTGTCTAGTGGTGATCTCGTAATTGGCTGCCAGGGGTTCAAAGAAGCCACCTCTCGATGAGATAAGTCCCAGAAGCGCGTAGACTCTGTCTCTGGGATCAGAGCATTTGTTGCCGTGGAAGGAGCTGAGAAGGTGATATAGTGTGCTGGCTTCAAAGGCATCACCCCAAATTTTTCGCATGACTCTTCGTATCGATATATCCTGCACAAGTCTTAGACCCACAGTGTAGGGTTTCCCTGGAGGTAGAAAGACTTCGTCCAAATCGTCCCAGCAGAAGATTCGGTGACCACAAAGGACAAACAGACTGCGCGCAAGTATGAACTCTTGAACAATCCACATTCGCTCAAAGTAGGACCTCCTACAAAGAGTTAGAATAGATTGAAGAGCTTCGTCGCAAATGTTATCGCCGCGTCCTTCCGCTACATCGATTAGGGCTTCAATCGCGCGCTCTGATCCATGCTCTTCGAGACCAAGCCATGAAAGAACAAAATCTGCAGCCAGGAAAATGTCTCGCATCATGTCGACCTGATGGCCGCGTTCTAAAGGGTCTCTCTGATTGATGCAGATGGCATCGACCCACAGATATTCAACTTTACGTCCATTCTCATTTCGACCGCGCTGCCCATCGGCTTTCTTGGTTATCTCATCAATTGTCCACAATTTGTCCTGTTCCAGCGATATGGTCTTTTCACGGGACTTCGCAGTTGCCGGCCTTGAAATATGCTTATAGAGCTCTTGTAGGGCGACCCAGAGGTTGGAGCGGATAAGGAATGGTTGCTTATTGATAGAGATCTTGTGAGCAGGCTTATCCGTTCCCCAGACGTACGATAAAGCATAAAATGGAGGGCTGTCTGCGAGCTGGAAGGTTTGAAGGCTACAGTCAATTTCGCTCATATCGTTCGAGTCGATATCACCAGCTTGTAAGCGTAGCTGTAGCAACCTAATCTGGCGTGAGGACCAATCCAAGTCCGTATATTCGTATCCACTATCGGTGGCCATGGCTGAACGGGAATGGGTCTCTTGCGTGGAATTAGGTACCAAGATCTTGAGGTTACGCGGGAGCTGAAGAGCTGAAAGCGCGATTGATCTATTTCGGAAAATCTTCTGATTGGCCAAAATTAGTCAACAGACCAAGGTCCGACAGTGATTGAATATACATCAGCTCTCAGGAGATAGTGAAGGAAAGTGGCCACTCAAAGTTGGTGCTACTGTATTTTCATTTAGTTTGATTTAATCATACCATATTCTTAGACTATCGATCCGAGTCTACTAGTGTCTCAATTCCGCAAGCCCTGTCGAACAATCACCCTACCCTTAGCAGCTTAACTCCAGGCGGGCGAATGCTGCAAAGTTCGCCGGCTGACTGCTTGTTTTTCATGAATTATCAATGATTCAAGCCTTGTTTGGTATTAAAGGGTGTGGGGTCAGGCATGCAACTTTAGCTTGAAGGCGTTCAGAAGAGCCTCTACTTGAACGGCCGGAAAACCCTATGAAGATGGTGACAATCACAACTTGTACATACCCTCCTTCAGAATCTCTCGATGTAATGTCCACCCAAGTTGCGAGCGAGAAAATTATACTGTTTCATGTGGCTGGTTGGAAAACCGTAACTATAAATCAGAGCAGTGGCGAAAAAGGGTTGGCTATGTCTAAGAAAAGCTTCAATAGTCTTTGCGAGGATGTGTGATTATTTATATTTAACTAATAGACCATGATATCATTAAGTTCCGCTAAAGTTCAATGCAAAGGACTCCATAGTGTCCAAACGCCGGAACAGACAAGACGTTCCCAGACTATGCACCAAATTTGGTATGCGCGCTGATCTACAGGAAAGCACCAACGCCAACCATGAAGCCGGCCAGGAGGCCACCAACCACGGGAGTTGCGGCAGCTACTCCGTTGCCACTTGATGATGGTGCAGCGCTACCAGCTGCATCCGTAGCACTAGAGACTACTCCGCTCACGCCAGTGGAGAGGGTGGATGCCACACCACCGGCGCCGGAAGTGATAGTCGACAGGAACGCGCTGCCACCGGAGCTGATGGTGGAGACGACACCACCAGCGCCAGAGGTGATCGTCGTCAAGATCTCGCTACCGTCAGAGGTAAGAGTAGATACCACTCCTCCGGCCCCAGAAGTAATGGTGGACAGTATCTCGCTGCCATCGGATGTGATGGTGGAGACTACTCCCCCGGCACCGGATGTGATGGTGGACGCTGCTCCACCTGCACCCGAGGTGATGGTCGATACGATTTCGCTGCCGCCAGACTTGATGGTCGTGACAACACCACCAATGGCCGAGGTAGCATCACTCGCTGCGGATGATGCGCCGCTCTGTGCCGCATCGGCGTAGTTCCAGCCGCATGAGGTGAGGATCTCTGCGAGGTCTATTATGCGTTTGGGTTAGTGCAATTCCCTAAACTGTAGTAATAACGGTGTACCTACTGCTGTCGGGATCATTCTTCCCGTTGGAAATGGAACAGGCAGCGCAGTACATCAGCTCGTTTCTGGCACCGGCACCACATATGCACTGCCGCTCCTCCGCGTCATTGCTGGTTTCTGATGCGCATTTGCTCGACAGGCCAACAGCATCGTTGCACTGTGCTTCACAAGCTCCGGGGAAGTCGGCAGCGTGGAGGGTCTGGCTAGCGCCAAGGGTGGCCAGAGTAAGGAGCCCGATGAAGGAGTTGGAGTGCATGTTGGCGGAGTTGAGGGAGTATTAGAGTAATGGGTGTGGTGTATTGATTGAGTAGTTTGGGCTGAGATGAACGGAAACGACAATGGTCTCGTGGCGGGAATTCATGGTGACCGGCTCTTATATACAAGAAATACTCTGCTTTTCATCGTCGTCATAGCAATTTAACTACTAGGTAACTGTGCTGCACTTCCTTGCAACGATAGGTTCCTTGCTTTATTGCAACGCTTCCAAAAGCACTGTCGCCAAGGCTCGTCAGCCAAGCCTTACGAAACAAGCTTGTATGGGTCCTGCAGGTCACTTCCCGGATTGTGACCCCTGCAAGTCTGCCAAGTAGCCAGGGGCAGCCCTGCAAAACGGCTCCAGGTCCGAGTTCACCCAATATTGTTTCTGCTTTCATAGTCGATTAGTCCACGGATCTCTTCTTGAGCAAAGCTTGAAACAACAGTAGAAACATTATTAACTGCGAGCAGAGCTTGAAACAATAAAGAAATCTTGGTAGTCGCGCGATTCAGCTATTCCGCACAAATAAACCATGACTGGCGAAAGTCAATTCAGCCTCGGTTGCACCAATGACCTGGCTGCACATTGGCGCTCACTACCATAACCTTAACTCGCGGCAATTTTAACCGAGATTGATTGCCGGTAGAGGACAGTAATCTTACTATACAAGAGAACCACACCGCAGTCGACTACGCCCAAGTAGATATGAGTCTTCTCGCTCAAGCATGCTGCTACGAATCATTAATGATATATTGTAGTGGCAACGTTCCATTCTGGGCATGAGCACTCATGGAGCTGAGTTCTTGGTTGAGGTGACAGTATACTTGGACGGCTTGGGTAATATATTAACTAAAACGATTTCACTGGCGGCGCAGCGGTCCACAACACCATCGAGTTGCTGTAAATTGTTCCAGAAGTGGAATTTGGCTCAGATACATGATGGCTATCTCCAGTCTTGATGCTTTAGGATTCTTGGGGTCTTGCAGAAGGGAGGACGCTAGGCGATTGTTTGCTCAATCCTGTTACCCCCGAGGGATCATTGACGAAGAGCAAGGGACTGGATTAATCTAGAGTAATGCCGCAATTCAAAAGTGCTTTCCCTTTATCGCATCATCTACGGATATGTGTGTATTAAGGTTTTAGTAGCGCAAAGGCACCTAGGTAGTTGATTGGTTTAGAGTATAGACCTCTATATTCTAAACACGGAGCTACTATCATGGCCACGCAAGATGACAACTTGAGATTTGCACCAGGCGGAAAAGACTTACAACTTTCAACATAGTTTCAGATATTATAAATGTGGCACTCCACAACGAGCAGGCTTGTTGTAGTGGTATAGTAAGTCCAAGTTTGGTTGTGAACTTTAATGGCGGAAGGAGTGGCAAAGTTCACTCTTTCGGTATGATACGGGCCCTGCACATGAACTGAGTATGTTTGACTCTTTGACTTATTGATTTATGTTGAACCCAAGCGCTTGCAAATAGCAGCCTACCCTTCGCCCTCTATAGAGACGCGTTATTACTGGACCATCACGCAACCACTGACCTTTCCCGTACTAAGACATGATTCGCAAGGAGGAGGTACTCGCTCGATTCTCTGATAGCTCGGAATTTCGCTACGGCCCGATTGGGATGTTGATGCTCGAGCTCGTCATCCCACTTCCAGGAGCCGCCTGAAGGTCCGACCATGCTCATTAGCAGGCAATAATGGTAGAGCGTATGTCGTTCACCAGAAGAGTTCGGATTCCAGTTCTCGGCGATCACATGAATGATCGTCGTTACAATGTGGGCAGTTACTAGCTTGTCCGACAGTGCAAAGCCGGAAACCTGACTTCGCGAAATTCTGTCTGAATACAAGAATTCCTTGACGGTGTAGTGTGCAAGCGATACCTGGCGAGAATCTTCGTCTCCCGAAAAGGATATGAGGCAGCCGCATCTGTCCCGCAGAACATCGTTGTTATAGACGACATCATACTCCTCTCCATCAGGTTTCAAACTAGGGGTGAGCCGAAAAGCCAGACCATGCAGTAAGACAGTGGCTGAAATGGGCACTGGACGGGAATTGTTGTTGGCACAGATGAAGATGAGCGCATAGCGCACAAACCCCGAATCTTCTTCCGGCAGCAGATGAAATATTCTTTCGTAAGTTTCATCCAGTGACTTTGGGAGGTCGGATACAGCCTTGTAGATTTCCTCCCGGCTACGTAGTCTCTGGATCACGTCGATCTGGCATACAGCCCATCGAAACCTGTAGCCTTCTTAAGTATGTACGTCTTTATAGCGTTACAGAAGCTTTGTATTCAAACGGCAATAAGTTACTCACATTCCTTTGGCACCCTTCGTGAGAGCTCTTTCGACCTGATGAGTTAGGCTTGCAGGCCAACTTCTGAATCTTTTGTTGCCGAGCAGGGCAGAGTGCACGAAACGCCCGATATCTGTCTCGACCACTGGATTGTTCATGGAAATCGCCGTCGAAATCCCTTCAAAGCAAGTTTCAATGTCGTAATACTCACGGCTGGTCGCGAGAAGGCGGATAGTGTCAAACCTGTGGTCTGTGACCAGATCCCTTAGAATCTTCAAAAGATTGTGTCGCTGGCTGCTCTCGTCCACGGCGTCTACCAATACAAAGACCGTTTCGAAGTACCGCAGTGACACACTTACAGCCTCTAGAAGCACAGATAAGCTTGGCACTTGTGCCGTCTCATACAGAGCCACGATTTCGGTCGGGATCAGATTTGAATGTCGGCATAGCTGGCCTAACAACCATCGAAGGAATGGCGCCGCCTCATCGTGGTTGCGGGCGAAATAGCAGTAGTAATAGACTGAAACTGTTGGCTTTGTTGTAGACAGGTCGATAGAAACGGTTTGTTTTCGCCTAGCAGAGTTGCGGCAGTATGATCTCGCCTCCTCGACCAGGTATGACGCCAAGACCGTTTTCCCTGCGCCTGGTATCCCATGGATCCACAAAAACTTCTCTTTCCCGGCTAACCATTTCGCCCATTCTTCCGAGTCTGTCATCCATAGACCCGTGAAGTCCTCGCGAAGCTCCCAGGCGCTATTATGGCTACTTGAGGGGTTCGTGCTCTCAAGCCAATGACAGATTTTGTTCCTCTGATCAGCGGTCAACGTCTCTTTGACGTACCTCATATCACGCCGGATATCTTTGATGTCTTGACTATATTTACCATGAGCAGATATTCAAAATACTCTCGTGCGTTAAAGACTTGGTTATGTCAACATACGTGGCATCGTACGTCAGCGCGAAAGATATCGACGCTCTATACCGCGAAATTGTCTCCAGCAACTTCTTGGCAGATGATTCTCGTAAAGGCCAGGCCAAGTGCGTCGCTGCGGAACGAATCTTTTGTCGCTTTCCTTGGACCGCGTGGAAGTCGGCAGGCAGCAGCTTCTCTAGTGCAGCTAGAGCTTTACGACACATCTCTACTGGGCCATGTTCGCCGGCGAGGTTTCCCAGGAAGCTCGGCCCGCCGCCGTCTTTCTCCCGTGACTCTAGGATGAAGCTCAAAGACTGCAGCACGGCTTTCAGCAAGGATACCTCGACTAGGATTGCTCTAATGTCAGCCGGGCAGTCCTTGATTGCCTCGATGTAATATTTCGCAATGTCAACCACGCGGTCCGTCAGCTGCAGGAAGGCGACCACACTTGCGCCAAATGCTACTGCCTCGGCCATACTCAGTGTAGGGGGCGATGCGGTGGATTATGTGCCTAGATAGATGGGAGCATCCAGGTGTCAGGTTTTGGAAGTGGAAGGCTGAGCAGTCCACTCAAAGCTCTCAGCTTTGAGAGCCAGACGATAGGATGAGTAACGCAGCCTTCGCACAAGTTAATTTCGGTAGTATTGCAAGAGAGCATTGGGAAACAAACCTTGTTCGGAGTACATGCCTAGAAAACAGCCGCGAACGATTTCCCAAGCATGGAGGAGAGGAGACCGGCATGATAGGAAGGCATGATCAGGCTGGAAAGCTGAAGTCGAGCTGGAAGCTAGTCTGTATTCACCATCCAATAGGACATAGCGTACATCCGCCCAATCGTTGCCCCGCATTTTGATGTTGTGGTTCTTGAAGTCCTTGGAATAGGTTGGGGTACATAAATATACATTGGGACTCTCTTTTGTGGTTTGAGAAGATACATTTTTATAGTGCGGCATCCCAGTATAAGCTAGCCAGTGGCTCAACTCATACAATTGCTGCCAATGTAAGTCCGAATGGAGAATAGCACATTCAAGTTTTGTGTATAGTTTGAACACTGGGTTCTTACATCTCGTCCTTCCACACATCACAGAGCTAGTATCGACCATCCTTCACACAGTGCTTACGACGGTCTTCATCCACGAGGATTGGTCAGGTGTTCGAAATGAAACCTGGAGAATATATACGCTATGGCAGGTGACGGCACAAGCTTCAGATCCGGGAACATGAAGTATTTCCTGCAGCACGGTGGACGACGCCCTAACATCTCGACACGAAGAGAATTCTAGACATGTCGCGGTTGCCGCAAGTTCTTGACTACAAGGTAATACATGTAAACCAGCACTTCAGCGACGACGAAGTGGGCGAGAAATCGAAGATGTAGATGGAGATGAGGCTAAGATTGGAAGCTCGTCGGTAGGGCTTCCAAAAAGGAAATGGGCCCTAAGGGCGATGCGAGCATAGCTGAGAATCCAGGCAGAACACTTGTGATTTTATTTTTAAGACCGCCAGTAGTGATTCCAAAAATCTGTTAGAGGTGACTTGGATTTGCCCCAAACTTCATATTCTCCAAGAGCCGAGCGGTTCATCATTTGACTCAATGTTGCCTCCGACTTCCTTGACCAACGCCTCTGTGCAACCACCCAAAGCAAAATAACGCCAGAACCACAGGTGAGAGCAGCATTCATTTGTTGCGCAGACACTTTACAGAGCTGAAATTGTCATCAAACTCAGCCGACAGTGTGTTCTGCACGCCACCCAGCGTGATAGAGCCGGCATCCTCGTTGCAGTCCGGGTTGCTACAAGACGATGGGGACACACGTCAGATCCCGATCCTCCTATTAAGTGAACGGGGCTTTCTATTGAGGAATACTTACTTGTAAAAGTTGCAGAGTTTGAAGTCCGAGAAGGTGTTGACCGAGCTTACGGAGTTGTCGAACCCATCGGGAATGTTCTCTGTGGTGGGGGCAGGAGGGGTCAGCAACGACTTGTCCAGCGCGTCAACGTTGATAATCTTGTGGTTGCTACTCACTGCAGAGATCGATCTCGGTCTGGAAATCCAAGCAGTCGCCCAGGTTTGCGTCGTTGCAGAGCAGCAGCAGCGTGATGTCGCGGGGCACGGCGGCACTGGACGGTGCGGCCTGGGCTAGGCCCAAGACCACGGCGACGGCCGCGAATGACTTGAGAGTAAACATGTTGACTGCTTGTATCTAGAGGAGGTCGAAATAGAAGATAGATTCTTGATTTATCCTGCGATGATCGGGCGTGAGTTTCTCAAACCTATGGAGATTGATAATGGCTGGGACTTTTATAGTTGGCAATTGTAACACTGCGCGGGTTCAGGAAGGAGATGTAGGATGATGGATGCAAAATGACTAAAAGATGACACTGAATCGTACGTGAAGGCCGCAACATGGCTGGCGGAGTGTATAAAAGAGAGCAGATCACCGAGCGCCAAGCCCATCGCCTGTCACCGGTCAAGGCATGCAATGCGAATGGAGGGCCGTGAATCTCTGTCCACAACGGCCGCCGGGTCTGCTTCCGTTGCACGAGGTTGAGTAGCTGAGCTGCTTGGCAAGCCTCAAATCAGCCCTATGACCAAGTTTCCGCGCTCGTTGCTGTATCTGACATCAGAAAGGTCTACTTTGGCGACCCGAAAGCGAAACCTAGGCTGGGCTTCCCCAGGGATTAGCTTCCTTTCGTCGGACGTTGGGGCCACTATACGGCGTTCGGAGATTATGATGAGTTGTCTTGGCGTTTAGGAACGAGCAATTTGTGAGCTGCTTGCCCTTTTAACCAGTGCTGTGAAACATAGTTCCAAGTTGGTGTAAGTGCACGCATAAGAGACTACGGTGTGACTAATGACTAGTGATGGCGTCGCGGCATCATGTCTGGGCTAGCAGTGCATACACTCAATTAGGGAACAGACTAGGGGGCACGTTGTTCTTAACTTTGGGAGCTGACTGAGAGACTCCGGCTTGGATGTCTGACAAGGTTAGTGATGTCGAGAAGGAGTGCATGAAAATTTTGAAGTTGAGATTTCTTGATTGGAACGGGTATCTGGAATAGTCTATAGAAAAATCAAGTATCAACTACAGAATGCGAGTATGCCTTGGAAAGAACCGTCAAGAACGTACCCGTCAGAGCTCAACACTTAGGTACTCACCGAGACAGAAGTCTCTGATGAATGCTGAGTAAGTCGACTGTCTCTAATCGGGCCGTGCTGACGATGCTGCTCAGCTTTGCCGTCGCGGCGCTGACTGTCGTCAGTAAAGCGAGCATCTCCTGGCATTTGAGAACTTACGGCCATCGAGTGGCATTCCATGCCACCTCAGCCGATAATGCAATCCGGACGGCGTTCCGGATTTATCTTGGCTTGGCCGTATGGGTCGTATGATCCTTCACGACCAGTGGCCATTTAATGTGACCGTAGACGTAGTACCGGTCACTTCATAATGCCGAATGGCCTCCGTGCCTGTCGAAAGCACAGCAATGCGAGTCTACCACCCGCCTCTGAAACCCCTGCCTCCCCTTCCGCCGCCGCCTCCGCCGCCGCCGCCACCACCACCATATCCACCTCTCCTCGGCCCTCTCGGGCCCTTCCAATCCCCAGACCCCATGCTATCATCGCCCCGGGGCCCCTCATCCATGCTAGGGCCCCTCGGTGGCCCTCTGCCGCCGCCTCTCATCTCCTTGGGAAAGGCTTCATAGGTGCGGCGCATCTGCGCGTAGCCCAGATGCATCTTGCCGTAGAAATGATCGGCTAAACGGCGGTCGTTATCGAGGCGACTCAGGTAGGCGCCACAGACATCGCACACCTGCAGCTTCTGGTGGCCGCTGGGGCCCGAGGTGTCGCTGAGGGCCTTGAGCTCGCGCTCGCGCTCGGCCCTCTGGGCGGCGGCCAGGCGCACCTTGTAGAACTCGTCGTAGGCGCGGCTGACGTCGCCGAGGGAGCCGAGGACCTCGATCTCGGCCAGGCCGGCGGAGATGGTGGCGGCCAGGTCGGCGATGGACTTGAGGAGGACGTTGGTCTGGCGGATCTCGTCGGGGGTCTTCTCGAGGCGGCGCTGGGCCGAGTCGATGCGGCGGTTGCAGTCGTCGATGTACTTGTGCAGGTCGCGCATGTAGTCGTACTCGAAGCCGTGGCGCTTCTTCTGGGCGTCGGGCAGGCCGTCCCACTCGGCCTTGAGCGACTCGGAGTGGACCTTGGGACACGGGCCCAGGTCCTGCTTGGTGTTGGTGAAGAGGTCGTGGGGGCAGGTGCCGACCAGGTAGGAGCGGCAGACCTTGGGGTCGGTCAGGGACAGCTGGCTGGAGCGCGACGAGATGGGGTTGCCCATCAGCTGCTCGAGCAGCTTGCGCTGTTCAGCCGCCATGATGATGGTGGTGGTGGTGGTTGTGCTTGCTCTCGTAACAGTCCCTCTCCGTCGTTTTGGTGTGTAGTGCAGGTGTGGGCTGGGTCTCGAAGGGGGGTGGTGGTGCTGACAGCCACTGTCAACCAGTGTCGGCTCGGCGTATCGGCACGATGAGCTTCCCAGGGTGGCGGCTTGAGGGACGGTTTGATGCAAGCGATGGAAAGTGTCGTCGTTGTCGTGAAGCTGCGAGGCGGCAGGCAATTCAAAGTGTTCGGCCGGGCGGGCGCAAGGCTGCGCCCACAGCCCGGGCCCGCCGTTGTCCTCTGGACTGGCCACTGGGGCTAGCCAACAAGCTTCTTTTGCGGGGAAGCCAATTAGCGGGCTCCGTCACGGACAGGGGGCTGCTGCAGGGTGCTTTAGGGCGGTTCCCTCCAGCTGACGGGCTGGCTGCTCCGTCCAATTTCAGGGCGTGCGCTGGGTTAAGGCTGTACTGTAGTACTGTAGGTATTAGCCCTGCTGATCTGGCAGCTTCAACATCTGGAGCCAGACCACACCGAATACTATCACAACTACAACTCCACGTCCAAGTCCCGGTCCCGGTCCCAATGGGCCTCCGACGACGACGTTCACGATGCGACTCTTCACCTCTGTTCTGACCCCTCTGTTCTGCCTCGTAGCGTCAGCTGCTGCCGCCTCCGACTACCATGAGCAGCTGGTTCTGAAGCCCCTGCCCCAGAACTCGGTCCTGGCCAGCTTCGACTTCAAGTCCAACACGAGCGTCGCCCAGTTCGAGGCGCACAACTTCCGCTACTTCCCGCGGTCGCTCGCGCAGATTCTACAGCACGCCGGCACGAGAGAGCTTCATCTGCGATTCAGCCTGGGCCGATGGGACGCCGAGACGTGGGGTGCGAGGCCGTGGCATGGCACCAAGGAGGGCAGCACCGGCGTTGAGCTGTGGGCTTGGTTGGAGGCCGGAAGCGATGAAGAGTAGGTTGTGGTCTATGGGCCCGGAAGTCGGACGTATCATGCTGAGCTGACACCGCTTACAGAGCCGATCAGAAGTGGCTGACGCTCACGAATGCCCTCTCTGGTCTCTTTTGCGCCTCGCTCAACTTCATCGACTCGACCCGAACCATCCGGCCCGTCATGTCCTTCCGGCCCGAGGGTGACCACCCAAATACAACCATGACAAACATGCACTTGCTGCATGGTGTCCTGCCTCGCGAGGTTGTCTGCACGGAGAACTTGACTCCCTTCCTGAAGCTGCTGCCCTGCAAAGGCAAGGCTGGCATCTCGAGTCTGCTGGATGGCCACAAGCTGTTTGATGCTTCCTGGCAGAGCATGGCCATTGACGTCCGTCCCGTCTGTCCTGCTGGCGGAGAATGCGTACTAGAGATCGAGCAGACTATAGACATGGTGCTAGACATTGAGAGATCGAAGCGACCTAGGGGTAATGCTTCTGCCCACACCCGCCCCTCTTCTCGTCCCTATTCTAACGCAGCCCAGACAATCCCATCCCGCGCCCGCCACCGGGCCACGAGCTGAAATGTAATACCTCCAAACCATACAACAGCCACGACACGTGTTTCCCTACCGACTCGCTCTCGGCTCAAGAGTGGACTATCTCTCAGGTGTTTGGCAAGTCCATGAAGGGGACCTGCCCCCTTACTGATCCTGCTGTACCTCCCGTGTGCATCCAAGCACCACATAGCAGGGATGTCTTCACATCAGCTGGCGTCACGGAGCTCAAGGTCAAGGAGAACGAACGCTGCTATCTGGCTCCGGCCGAGGACGACTTTGAGCTTGTGCTGCCGCACATGCCTCATGAGGGCGAGAATGCGAAATCCGATGCCGACGAATATGTAAAACCCGAGACCCCCCTCCTATATGCCGAGAGGAGTTTCACTGGCCATGGTCAGCAGCGGGGTGGTGTCCAGACCATCTTTACCAACCCGAGTCCCGACACCGAGGTTGAGTTCGTCTACCTGGAGAGCCTACCATGGTTCATGCGCATCTACCTACACACGCTCCAAGCCCGCATCTCCCATCGCACCGGATCGGATAAGGGGGAGACGTTGGCGCCAGAGGGCGACGTCATCCAGGAGATCTACTATCGGCCCTTCCTGGACCGCGAACGGGGCACGCAGCTGGAAGTCCGCATGCGCATCCCGCCCGCCAGCACCGTCTTCATGACCTATGATTTCGAGAAGAGTATTCTTCGCTACACCGAGTACCCACCCGATGCCAACCGAGGCTTCGACGTGGCCGGTGCCGTCATCACCATCACACCATTGACGCCAAACGGAAAGACCAGCAGCCTGAGGACCACGGGCCTGCTGCTGGACTTGCCCACCCCTGATTTCTCCATGCCCTATAATGTCATCATCTTCACAAGCACAGCCATTGCTTTGGCTTTTGGTGGGCTGTACAACATCCTGGTCAGGAGATTCGTGGGGCAGGACGAAGGTCCCGAAGTCAGCCTGGTCAGACTCAAGGGAAAAATTCGGGCCGCCGTCTCCAGACTGCAGAGCAAGACGAAGAAGCCCGGCACTCCAGGGATGGCTGCGGAGGTTGCTGGGGGAAAAGAAAAGGAAGCTGCGAAGATAGAATAAGCATTGTGCATTTGTAGACACTGGACGGAATATGAGAATATTATCAAACAACACGGTACCTGCGCCGGCTGACTGGGATGGCTATACAAAGTAGTTTCACCAGCAAGCAAAACTGTATTACGTTGCCAGCACTCCAATATCCATGATGGCGGCCATACCGGAGGCTCTGCGACTATGTAAGTCAAGCGTTGGACGTAATTCAAGCATTGAACAGGACGTAAGTAATTTGTCCACCTATCATCTTGAGCTGTAAGCAGCCGCGTGAACAGTGAGATGGCTTTGCAATAAATGGTAACCCCTTTTCATGGTATTTTCGTGGTATCGAATGCTATAAAATCGCTGTCCCCATGTCCTTGCACCAAGGCCGTCGAGGTTCTTTACGAGAACAAAACAAAGAAGAACTGCGCCGTGTGATCTCCAGCCAGAGGATGCTAGGACTGCTGGGCGGCAGCTGCGTCCAGAGACTCCATCTCCTCGTCCCACTTGCCCCTCGGCGACAGCGTCGGCAGCTCGAGCTTCGCGGGCGGCGCGGCGCTGGTGTCGAGCTTCTGCGGCTGGGGAGGCAGGGCCGGGAACTCGTCCGGGTTCGGCGGCGCCGCGTCTGCTTTGCCGTGGTGCCCGTTGCGCTCGTTGCCGTTGTCGCCGAAGCCGCCTCGGCCGCCGCCCCGTCCTCCACCACCTCGCGTGCTGCCGCCTCGTCCGCGCCCGCGCCCCCGGCCCCGGAACTCGCCCGCGTCGAACTGCCGGGCGCCGCCCTCCGGCGCGTCCTCCTGGCTGCTGCCCTCCCGCTCCGCAAACCGACTGCCACCCAGCCCGCCGCCGCGGCGCTCGCCCCGGACGCCGCCGTTGGCGCCGCGGAAGGGGCGGCGCTCGGGCTCGTCCTGCAGGCCGCTGCCGCTCTTCTCCTGGTCCCAGGAGCCGAGGGCCTTGAGCTTGCGCTCGCGGTTGCGCTCGCGCTCCTCCTCGAGCTTGCGGCGGTCCTCCTCGCCGCGGCGGCGGCGCTCGGCCTCCTCGGCACGGCGCTTGCGGGCCTCGGCCTGGCTCTTCTGCAGCGCCAGGTCGTGCGACCGCTCGTCCAGCGCCGCCTGCTCGAACTTGCGCGTCCGCTCCGCGTTGGCCAGCTTCATGGCCGCCATCTTCTGCTCCAGCTCCGCGTCCGTCAGCTTGGTCCGCGGGTTCTGCCCGCTCAGGTGCCGGTTGGGCCCCGCCGTGTTGGAGCCCGGCGCCGTCGTACCCGCTGCGGCGGTCGCGGCGGCCGCGGCGGCAGGGCCCTTGGGCGCGGTCGGGGGCGCGCCAGACTCGACAGGCGCCGGCGGGACGTCGGGAGTCTCAGTAGTCGTGGGATCAGACGTAGGGGTTTCTGAGGCCGGCGCTGTTGGCGCCGCGACGGCGGCCTTGGGCTTCGGGGAATGTTTGCGCTGCTGGCGGGGCTTCTGCTGGGTGTTGTGTCGTGATTGCGACAGGGCGCTTGGCTTTTTGGTTGGTTTCGGCGTGGGCTCTGTCGACTGTTGCGTCTCTATTGTAGACGGCGGTTGCTCTACCACGGCGGCTGCCTCTGTCCGTGGCTCCTGGACGGGCACGGGTGGTGTTGGCTCGACGTACGTCTGCTCGACGGGCTCGAAGTCGTCGGCGAACAGATCGTCGTCTGTGCGACTTTGGAACTGGTCGTCCATTGCACTGGAGGGTACCCGAATTGATGCTGGGATAGGAGTACTTTGTCGCCCGGGCAAAAGCAAATGCGGTATGCGAAGGAGTGTTAGCTGGTACGAGCTATCGATGAGGCGCCTGGCGGAATGCTCATGCTCATGCTCATTATGAACAAGTGAGGTTTTGGAGCAGGCCCCGCGATCGCTGTGCTTCTGGCGCTGGGCGGACTCGAGCAACAAGTGGCGTGGCGGGGCAGGGATTGGATCGGGTGCCACACCAAGAACCGTGCTCCACACGCCGATGGGGAACTTGGGGGGAAGTCTGGATTGGTGCAGCTCACTATCCTATCACTTATGATTTAAAGTGTATACCAAAAGCTGAAAGTTCCTAGATCCAACACTGCTTCATGTTGAGATTGTCGTCCGACGGTATTCGATATCTCCTAGATCTCATGTCTAAACATCCCATGTTCTAACATGCATGCAGACAATGACAATAGAAATAAAAATTGGCGTTACAAGCTAAGCAGCGACTTCCCTTCGTTTGAAGTGCTTAAGATCTTCGGAGAAGGTCTTGATCAATAGCAAAGTTGCGTGGTAGAGTAGCAAGCTGGGCATAGCGCAAATTGGACTTAGACGCGTGCCGTCTACTGTACCACTGGCCTAGAACAGTCGATCTTACACAGTATGACGATATCACCAGGACAAGGAGATGGGGGTGAAGTCATCATAATCACTACCCGAGATGAGGTGATCGGACGCTGATACTGGAGATCTGCACAGTATTTGGTTTAGATCACCAGACAAGCATGATGCATAGCCTGTGGAGCAAAGATACATTTGGCGTCAAGACGCGGTGGCGATTCAACAGAGCCTCTGCACATGCCTCTATCTCCCGGTGAATACTTCTAGTTCTAAGATATATGGCCATTATGAGACACGCGTGTGGATTGACTTAGTGGTGGTAACTAAATGAGGAGGACGGTCGAACAAACACTGGCTAACCAGCGAAGGGCTATGGTTTGCGACCATAAACAACGTACCTAGGGAAGTTACAATGTAAGTAAGTAGCTCGTGAAATTGGCATTGACTGCGATGCGTACATAGGCACCCAGGTGCGGTTTCTACAGTCCCGCACAAAGGCTTCTGTCTGTCCAATTATGGTTTCAACTTCTTGTGCAGAGTGGCCGGCGAGTTTGAGCATTTTATAGCCCGTACCCATCAGACCTTCTATACAATTCTGCAAATTGTAAAGACCAGCTTTCCTCAACTTGCTGTCTTGTGGCCAAGGGCTCCACGGTAAGGTAAACTGTCGCTCCTCGACGTCCACAACTGCGAAATGTGGTCAGGGAAAGATGACAATACAGCGGGGCTTGACTTACAGCCGGCCTCTTCTAGGAACGCCTTGTACTGCTTTGCAATATGGAGATTCCTGCCCCTCGCTGCAGCTCCTCGATTCATGCCGTCGCAATACACCTGAAGCGGAGAGCCTTTCTGCTGTGTCAACCCGAGGAATTCTGCATACGGAGCTGTTCAAGCATACCTTCGTAGCCTACGGCCCTCAAATCATAAACAACATCCTGGAATTCAATCCAGCCGCCGGAATTCATGTTATCAAAGGCCTGACGTATTACATTGCGGACATCGTCAAAACACGTAAACACCATTCGGAGGTGCACGTAGTCAAACATGATTCGGTGCTCGCAAGGATACGTGACACAGTGCGCATCAGGAGGGTGAGGCGCAGGGAACACCCACGGCGACTCTGCATCATCTTTCTGGAACACGCAGTTTGGCACCTGAGGATCTGGCTGTATGGCGCTGAGATCTGTCCCAATTACGAACGATGAGGGATACCGTTTAGCTGTAGTTTGGATCGCTCTAATTAGCATTTTTGATACGATTTAGTAGAGGGGTATACACTAAGAGAGCTGCGCCAGCTGCCGCGCTTTTGAACAGCTGGTATCACCTGCAACATAGATAAGGAGATAAGCTAGTTCTGTGGTATAGATACTTGCGATCCTGATGGTCTTATTAAAGATTGGGAGTGCAACAACATTGTCAAACTCATTCCAAAGACGAAGAAGATTTTCCTTACAATAAGAGCTTGCCCAGATGCCTGTGCCGGTCGCTATATCCAGCACAAAGTTTGGCACTCGAGTCATGGGAGCTAAGTGAAGCCAGCCGTCTAGGAGAAGGAGGAACACTTGATGCTGAAGATCCAACCGATCCTGTTCTGCCTGCAAGTTACGTGTAAGTAATAGGCACAAAGGCTATAGCGTAAGCATTCCTGGTCACTCACAGCATCATTGGGCAACAAGTAAGAACCCTCTTTGTACCCGTGGTAGAGGCGACCCCACTCTTCAAGGACCGAGTCGGGCTCGACTACGGATGTTCCGCCAGGCGTTCGTCCCAGGGAGGCATTGATCAAATCGTTGGCCCTCTTCGCAAAGTCAGGTTGAACAAGCGGTGCGGGTTGGTCAAAATGCCCGCTGCTACCGAGGAACGCGGGATCGAATGCAGGCGCTTCCTCGCTGAATAGTGCAGATGGGGGAGCCTGTAAGGAGTAGTTGGGAACCAATTGCGAAGGGAAAGGCAGCTGTGGCCCGGCGTTGCTATGCTGTGCATAATGTGTTGCCAGCGCCTCGTCGTGAAACATCGGCGCCTCAGTCGCAGAGATATCTGGGTAATTGAAGGCCCCAGTAGTGCCCTGCGAAACATTTTCTCCTTGCTCGCTGTTCTCTTCCTTGACCTCACCCATTTTACCTTTCAGCGTCGTGATAATAGTCTTGGGGATTCTTGGGATAGCACTTTAAGCTAGACGTGGAGGTCGAATCTGAAGGCAACAAGTCATGTATATATAGGCGTGGTATTTCATTTTTGTGGATATGCATAGGCATCGTTTCGATGGGAGGGGATTAGGCCCTGGTGTGGTCCTCTTTAGCCAGTCACGGCTGTCGTGTAGCCGCCAGCTCCCCTGTCTCGTGCCTCGGTTTCCAAACTGTCGGGTCGTCTACACGGTGATCAGCCCTGATGGGGAAGTGACAGAAGGAATCAGGAGGCCAAGTCCAATAAGTCAGCTTCGTGTGATCGGGCGTATGCATTCCTAATTCATTCAAAAACCAAGAGAAATCTTTCATTTCAAAGACATACACCGTTCCCGTAGAAATTCATCGGGCATTGGCAAAAGCGTGATATGGAGTCTCAGATACTTGAGGAAACGCGGGCCATTTGGAATTGACCAAGGAACGGCCCGAAAGGGGCGGGCTCGGTCTGGCTCAATCCAGTCCTTGACTAAACTCTTAACATCGTCTGGATGCCACGAGTGAAGTCATTCACGTCGTTGAACAAGTCGATCTTATATCTCTCACATATGAGCCGCACTTGACCCTTCTTCTGGTACCCGTCCTGGACGTATACGATGGCCTTGTTTTCCTTGGCGCAGAGCCCCAGTTCCAGCAGACTGATGGGCGCCAGTGTGTTAGCACCAAAGTAGACCGCAACGACGTCGGCCCTCTCTTGCTTCGATAGTTCCCAGTCGACTTGCTTTCTGAAATCATCCTCTGTCCAGCTGTCATCCCAATCCGGGCGTAGGGGATTGAAAATGGTCACTGGCAAGCTCGACAGCTCGCCGGAAACCATCTCGCGCCAGTCGGGCGGACCGGTTGTGGTGCCTGCAAGGAACACGGTTTTGCTATGGCGAACCGCTTCACCGGATGGTGCCTTGATGATTTGGGCTAGCCTCGCAACAGACTGGGAGGCAGTCATAATTCTGAGCGTCAAGATGACAATTAATGATTGAAATAAAGCGTAAGATCAGCGAGGTCTAAAATACCTAGGTAGTTATAATGGGAAGAGGATCAAGGTTAGAGGGTCCGCTCGTTAGGCTCTGTATGAATCATAGGGCAGATTTCAGGCGGGCAACGGCCAGCCGCGGGGCTCTGCTGCATGTACTGCAAGATTAGTGGTTTGCTTCTAAATGAGCCCGCTGGCCAGGCAGGCTCAGCCACTCAGGCAATCATTATTACAGACGAAGCTGTCAAACAAGGCGATCGGCAAGTTGTGGACATTTTACGTGTACTGCGGGATTTGTTACGTACTTGGAGTTTCGCGGCTAGGGGGCGTAAGAAGGATATACAATTCACATTAAAAGAGCGACCAGCGTTCCCATCGTTGTTAAACGAGCTCCTAAGCGCCTACGAACGGTGGGGCACCGTGCCGTGCGAGCGAGGGGCAGGGCCATTCACTTAGGCATGATCACCAACGGAATCCTTGTAGCGAACGCAAGAATAAGAGCACTAACATACAACAAGGCTTGGAACTGCCCACTGTAACGCGGCTCTGAGCATTTTTCATTGTAAATATCCTAAGTCCCAGACTCTGATGCAATTCAGATGCTTGAAAGTTCTCTCGACAGGATGCACTAATCCTTAAGTTAGGCACAGGCGTGGCTCAAGCGGTGCAACCTAGAGACTGTATCAAAGCGTAGAACTGTTTCCTGAATGCGACTGAAAGGCCGATCCTACTATCACAAACCTGGACTGCTGTGTATCCCTGGTTGTTGCGTATGCTGACATCCAACATACCTAAGTTGAAGGACGAAAGGATTTCGAGTGTCATTAAGTCCCCTTCGAGAGCTGCCGAGCGTAAAATTGATGATCCAGATTTGTTGATATCATCGGACTTGTTACCCGTCCGAAGCAGCATCTTCAAGAAGTCGTGACAGTTATGATGTATTGCTTCTCGTAACGGCGTATCGCCGTATTTGTTTCTCGTGTGCCTATTTGCGCCATGTCTGATTAAGAATTCACCTGATGAGACTGTGTCTGTCATTGCTGCCCCTGCGAACGGAGTATTACCAAGCTTGAGTTGATTCGTCCGGATTATTCCGTATTTATATCAAAGGGTGGCCACTAGCCCTCCCGCTAGATTCATATCTTTGTTTTATCTACTGTTGTATTATTTTGAGTTTATGCAACTCAATTGGCCTTTCTGCGCCTTTCTGCTGCTGTGACCGATGCGGTACTACCGACGACGCTCTTCCTGGGGCTTGATTGAGACATCCGCTGGCTCCTGGAACGTGACTACTCGTCTGGGAAATCTTGGGGGCAGCATATTTGTAACTGCAGCCCGAGAATCCGGCATCAAAATTTCTTCTCCTACCACAGTGGTCATCAAGGAACCTGATCTACCACCTCTCCGAAATCTCTGCCCTTTTCGAGCACCAAAAAGCCATTGTTTGAGCACTTCCAACTCACCCATCCACCATAGCCCTGCGATAATTACCAATATTGTCGTTGGGAGTGCAGTGACCCAGTATATCCATTGACTCAATTCCAGGTTGGCAATATCGCTGGTATTCATACCAAAGATGCTGCTGATGGTTCCAAGGGGCAGGAATATTATGGTGACCATTGTGAAGGCGTAGACCGCCTTCTCCTGCTTGTCCTTGTTGATATCAAGATTGGTTACATTCTATAGGACATTAGTCGGCTGCAAGTCAGGACGCAAAACGAGTAAGTTGGGAAAAAGGCACTTACAGATTCCTCTAGTCGGTCAGCCTCGATTAAAAAGTCGCGGAACTCGCTGCTTTTCCGATCAAGCAAGTTTAGACAGTCGCGCACCAAGAACGTTGAGAAGCCACCTGGATCCGTCGATGAAAGCTTGGAAAATTCGTCCGGGTCACGGTTACTTCCAACGAAGTCGAGACCGTGCTGGTAAGGATCGTAGGCATAATATCCATCCCGTGCTCGGCTGCGATGTAGAGGATGTTCACTCCTCACGGTTATATGATCCACCTTCTTTTCGAGCAACTGGGCTTCATATCGATTGTGTCTCGTGGCTTCTATGATCGGCTTTTGCATCACTGCTCCGGCCAAAGTTCGTTGTTGAGAGCTGATCACACGTCGAATGATGTCGATCTCCTTCTTCACCTGACCAATGAGATACTGATGGGACCGATCCGGATGTTCCATAATCATGTTTTCCTGAAACATTTAGAAATGAGCCAATAATGAGCAAAAGGATTTGTTCTTACCAGATGTTTGATGTACTGTGAGTACGTATCATTCAAGTTTAAATCGGATCCTTGGAGTTCCTGTGTAAGCTTCCGTGTCATGATAGGCACAAGCTCCATGGGGCGGACCACAGCATAATCTAGAAGGTTATGCACGGGCAATTCCTGCATAATCTCGCTCATGCCTTTGGAAAGGAGTATTTCAGTAGCGTCCATGTTCTCGATCCAATTTTCAGAACCTTCTGAAGCCTGTACCAGTGCCATCACGAGATGTAACCAAGCGCGGAGAAGATCGTCCGGTACAGTGATTTCTAATCTGTCAGAATGTGCCACATTGGACATGATCCCTTGGAAGGAGAGTATTTCTCGGGTCATGCTGCGAAGCGCGGAACGCACGGGGCTGACGTTTGCAGCAATTGCCCCCGAATTCCGTGCTTTCAGATTAACAACCGCGCTCTCAGAACGGGACGACTGCAACAAAATCAGCTCCAACATAAGTGTGAGAAATAGCGGAAGTACTCACTGTGATCATACTCTCAACGGCAGACCAAAACTTCCCAATTGTCGGCGCCTTTGAATCAAACCACGTGGGGAAGAAGAAGCAGAAAATGAGGTCCGCTGCGTTATACAAGTCGATTTTATCGTCAAGGTCTTGCTTCTGTTCCAGATCCTCGTCCGTGTTGGCATCAACATCATGGTCTTGGCCTACAAGATATGCGTGGACCTGTTCCCGAGAAGACGTTTTACAGCATTTGTATGCTCCACGCTCGCCATTGGAAGTTGATCTCAGCAAGTACTCGTTCATATCCTTCAACTGCTTCATCATCAGCTCTCTATGCGAATCTGTAGATAAGCCGGTAGCCGAACGCCCGCAATCCATCCAGGTGAAGACATGAAATTGCTTATTCTCGTGTTTAGGGACATGTGCAATAACTTCAGGCTCCTCATTCTGGATTGTTTGCGTTGAGGGCCCGTGATCATTTGGTTCAAAATCTTGGTCCGGCTTCAGAGTTTGCAGTACACCTGCTGCGGGTGGTTGAGGAAGATGACTGTGTATCGTTAGCTTTTACTTATTGTAGGCTCTAACGGATATTACCTCATTCGCAGTTCCAGTGTAACCCGCGTACTGGATTGTCTGGCGAGCTTAACGATCCTTGGCCAGTCATTTTCAGTCAGAGCCTTATCCCTGTGATAGAACCGGACAGCGTCAGGCCAAAAGTCCTTGAAATGCCTCACGAATGTCTTGAATTATGTCAATATACACGGTCTCCAATTTGTGTGGACTTGAGCACTTACAAACCAAGTCCAACATTCGTCCAAAGGCAGTGCCCAGAGGAAAGCCTGATAGTATGAAACACAGATCATCCTTGTGCTTGAAGCTGGTTCTATATCATCTTGAAGAGCGCTTCGTGACATGCGGCCGCAAGTGATCACAAGAGCTGTGATTGTTAGTCGAGATCATGCCCCACCCGTAGGTTACTCTGGTCTTTTATACCACTTACAGTCACCCAAAACAATGCACCAAAGCTGAGCGACGTGGACGCATTCGCCAACTTCAGCTGCATCAGCAAGAACAACGACCTGCTCCATGTCCCTAGCTCGGCTGGTGGGGCCATAGTCATTCTGCAGCAGGGTTTCGGTGGGAAAACTTGATGCAGATTTAGCCGCCATTAGTCCCGAGTACTTCTCAAGTGTGAAGTATGGGATACAGAACCAAGCCAATGATCGTTTGGGCCCCTTAGCCGGGCCTGTGCCGGGCCCCTTGGCGCGATTGTCTCCCGATATCATGACTCTAAGCGAGCCAGGCTCCATGTGAAGGACGTTGCGACCATCTGCGGTGCGCGGCTTCTTGACCTGTCCGCGGACCTGGCCAAGAAGCTTTGTAAGTCCATGTAGCTCGTCAGTCGACAGCCCAGGTATCCGCGTGATCTCAGCTGATAGCTCATCGAGATTCAACTGTGTCTGCTGCAAGTGAACCCATCGGTAGAGAGACTGCCGCACTGCTTTGGGTCTTGTATAACTTTCAGCTTCGCTGAATGGTCACCATCATAGATGGCATCCCCAGTGTACTTTGATTCAACGACATGCAGCAGCTTGGTATATACTGACGCTGCGTCGATTGTTCCAGCTTCCTTCCCATTTCTGGTCTCGAGTTTCGCCACTTTTCGAAGTTCGACTACCTGGATTGGAGATGAGGGTAGAGCCTCACTTTGTAGTTTTGCATCCCCATCGTCGTCGTCAGTACCAAGAGATGTAGTTTCAACAGCGCTGCTCGAACTCCTTCTGGGCGTGAAGGAGTAAATCTTCCTTCCGAGGACGTCTTCGTACTCGCCCTCAGTTTCGCTGTCCTCGTTCCATCCTCTCCGATCAACACCAGCGGTGGAAGGTCTCTCATGATACAATTCGTGTTGCCTTAAATTACGGACCCGGCGACGTCGTCGACTCGAAGTCCAATACGGCTCACTGCGCGGATATATCGAGATATCATCCGATGCGGAGTCCGACCTGGCCTCAGACCGCCATCGGCTAGGACTTCTTGACCTCGACTCGGTGGAGTACCTGCGGCGGCCCAGCCTCAGTGGTCGCGTACTGAATGCGGTCTCACGATTGGGATAAGGCTGGGCGTGAAATTGGCGTCTTTCGTAGGGAGCCAGCGGCGTAATATACGGACCAGAGTTTAGTGGTGCGGATGGCGCTGGGTACCATATCCTTCGCAGAGGAGGGGAATGATCATTTTGCGCGTAGTTGCGGTTAGTGGGTAGTTCCCTCTCATATGTCACTTGCTCGGTTTCCGTGAAATAGCGAAGCGGTTGTGTTGCCTGAGCGGTGTACTGCCGTCGCAAATCAGCATTGAGGCATGGAGGCTATTGGCAGTATTTTCACTGACCAATTTTCTGGGGAAACGTACCAAGTCGTCAAATTCTTCAGGCTCTTCTGTGTAAACTCGGGGCGGGACATATCGCACGTTGCTGTCGAACCGCGCACGCGGCGGGTCGGCAACCCGCTGCTGGGAACGCTGGGATCTACCCCCAGTGCTTCGGCGGCGGCGGCGGCGATGCGGAGACTCTTCTCCGGCACTATCGGGCTTAGATTCCATAACCTGGAAAACAACGGACAGAGACACCTAGTCGTTACGCATCGAAAACTCCAGTCCGACTGCCTCGTGGTGGTGTAAAAGGCCGTAAGCGTCTGACAGGGGCTAATTAACGTAGCGGGCGGGTGGCTGGGTATGGGTCATCACGTGATGCAATCCAAGCACCTAAAAGAGAATTTAGTATACCGGTAATCCTTCAACCCTATACACCTGGGAGCTGGGAATTCGGACCACACCCATCGCGTAGCATTTTGAATAGTAGCCATTTCGTCCCATATCTGGCCTTTAATTGATATTAAGCTCAAGTTATGCTCGTGAGACACCTTTGGTGCTCTCAGGCTAATCGACATTGCCGTGCGGAGAGACGGTATGGATGAAATACACTGACTGATTGATGGGGTGTGAAGTGACAGGGTAGTACAACTGCATGTGCATATACATGCGTCATTAGTTGAACAGCTGCTGGGCTCGTAACCTAAGTGGGGTTGGTTCACCAGCTCAAAAGTCTTCTGACCACTTGACGATATACTATTGTTTGCCAGCTTCAGAGGAAACTGGAGTGTCTAACTTGACATCCTTATTCTCACCCTAAAACTTGATAAAGCAATATCACCTTCACGAGATAGTCTTGCCTCCCAGACCGACAATGAGCCCAGGCATATCCATAACCATCGTTGTCGGTAATGCTGCTGTAATCCTTTTTCAAAACTTTGATATCCTCATTCTCAATAACACATCTCACTTCCAATTTGAACGTCGTGGCGCTGAACATATCGCACATCTCGGGACACTGGAGATGTGTAGAACGGCATCGTAAGTATACATGGAGTTTTCAGATCTGTGATAATGCTTCCAGTGCCTCGTCGATGGATATGACTCTCGCATTGAGCTTTGGGAATAGTATATCCAGCATCACCCTCGAGACCTCGCCTGTCTGGTTTGTAGGTAATTCAAGAATATTGTCTGAGATGACGTAGATGTTGTAGTCAAATTCCAGCAACCTGTAGACCGTGCTCATGACAACTCCTGAAAGACTAAGGCCCGACTGGATTCCCTGATTAGCGGTGCAGTGCAGTTTGGGGTAGTCTCTTACAATGACAACAGTGTCGATGTTCTGTGCTTTTAAGATCTGTTCCAGGGCATTGCCAGAGCCGGCATACCATCTTGTCTTTTGGAGGAGGATGTCTCGTTCGTCGATATTAAAGTCCGAAGCTATGCATACTCCAGGAGACCCTGCAGCAAATGAACCAAATTCTTCAATGAGTCTCGTGAATGGAGCACTCTTTGCTAGTTCTAGATATCCCTGCTCGAAAAATAAACTGGTGAAGATGTTGATAGGACGTTGGGCTGTCGAGTGGATAGCGTCTACCCAGCGAGAATTGTTTGAGATGAAAGCTTGTCCCTCGGCTGTTTCTCGAACTGCGTCAATGAGAACAGTCATCAGGTCCAGATTTAGGACTGCATAGTTCTTTCCGAAGTTGATCATGATTGCTTGAGAGAAGGTCAACGGTGCTCGGAAGAGAGCCATCTCCTGCAAATTTAGATCGAGGTACTTATATGACTTCTTTGGAGAGATAACACCAAGACAGAGTGTGCCATGTGGCAGCTCAACTCCGGGGGTTCGCGTGGGCCCTGGAGGTCCTAGTTGAAAGGTTGGCTATGATTGGCCAGCTGACCGGAGTTGACGTTCAAACTTCCGGAACTCAGGCTCAAGTCCGCTGGTTGGTGGGTGCTAAAAAGTCGCTAGTGCTCAGCACCACGACGAAAGATCTCAACTGGCACGTGCTTATAAGTAGAAACAAGCCCTTGGACTATTCAGTCTGTCTGTGTCCATCAGAGATTCACAGAGACTCACAAACTTGCAATGACTCAATCCAGACCCCCCGTAGACGATTTGAACGTCTCATCAAGACCACCGCCAGCAGAACCCCAAGATCCTTACAGCATCTTCGACAGGCGACAGAAAGCTTTGATAGTAATCATCATATCAACTGCTGCAACCTGTAAGCTTCGTTCCCCTACATCCAAGCCTCTACGCTCACTTGAAGAAATCAGTCTCCGGATTCGCGTCCAATATCTATTTCCCAGCGCTCCCTACCATTGCCAATGACCTTGGTGTATCGATCGAGCTTGTCAACCTTACTGTCACATCATACCTCATTTTCCAGGGCATAGCGCCGAGTCTTTGGGGCCCCATATCTGATGTCAAGGGCCGTCGAATTGCCTACTTTTGCACGTTTGTCGTGTTTCTCGGTGCATGCATTGGTCTGGCGGAGACGAAAGACTATGCTACACTGATCGTGCTGAGATGCCTTCAAAGTACAGGCAGTGCAAGCACCATTGCTATAGGGTCCGGAGTCATTGGAGACATTACAACACGTGGCGAACGGGGCGGTTTCATGGGAATCTTTCAAGCCGGATTGCTTGTACCTGTCGCCGTTGGGCCAATCATTGGTGGTGCGTTGGCAGGCTCCCTAGGATGGCGGGCAATCTTCTGGTTCCTGACAATCTATTGTGCGGCGTTCTTGCTCGTCATGGTCGTCTTACTCCCTGAGACTTTGAGGTCTATAGTCGGAAATGGAAGCCGCACACCTTCCAATGCGATTGCCCGATACCCTTTGGTCGTCTATCAACATTATTCCAGCACAAAGATGAGCCTAGACGCCGATCGGACGATCATCGGCTCTAGGAAACGGATCGATGTGACGGGACCGTTCCGGATCATTCTCAACAAGACTGCAGCTCCCATTGTTGTGTTTCTCGCTATCCACTACGCCGTCTGGCAGATGAGCATCACTGCCATGTCATCCCTCTTCACCGATCGCTACGGTCTCACGGAAACACAGGTTGGGCTGACATTTATTGCCAATGGAGTAGGCTCCATGGTAGGCACTCTTGTCACTGGCCGCATCCTTGATGTTGACTATCGTCGAGTCAAAGCCAAGCATGAGGGCCAGTCAACACCACGTCCGACCAGCAACCCCCAGGATAACGATCCTGAAAGGCTTCCAGTGAAGGCATTTCCACTCGAGAAAGCTCGGCTTCGGCTTGTTCCGGTGTTTTCCGTCCTCCAATGTCTCTCGATCCTCCTCTTTGGATGGTCCATCCAGTACCCGAGGAGCGTCCATATCGCAGTTCCTATAGTATCTACATTCATCACCGGATGGACAGCAGTTTCTACACAATCGGTTATAATGACCTACTTGGTGGACATATTCTCGGATCGGAGTGCGGCGGCGAGCGCTAGCTTGAATCTCGCCAGGTGCTTATTCGCTGCGGGTGGCACGAGCTTTGTGATGCCCTTAGTGGATCGTATCGGTGTTGGCCTTGCCTTTACTATTTGTGCTGCCGTTCAAGCCCTTGCCCTGTCCGGCGTCGCTGTAACATGGAAGTATGCAGCCAAGTGGAAAGAGCGGGATGAAATGAATCAAAACCAAGGTCTTGAAAACACGAAGTAAACTTGTTGGAAAGGTGGACTCTGATACCGATAGTATCTCTCCATCACCTCATAGTCCCTCAGTTGCGGTACATTTGTGGTACAATCTTGGAATTGATCACTAAGATGTACTATCCATGACATCTGCCGGATGAGAGATGGCAGGTGGAAGACTTCCGCGCGCTATGTACTCCTTCACGACAGTAATACGGCCGTCCGATCAATGCATACATGTATCATTATCATTATATAGATCAACAAGGGCGCAATAACGTCCAGATTAGTTTGGGAATCAGTGCTCTAATATTGCCTGAGACATTTCACCTAGTCCTAAGTTATGATAGTACGAATCGGCCGCCAGTTAAAACATATCCGCAAGCATATCTATATGCGTGCTGTCAGGGGCTATGTACCCTATGAGTCTGGGCGTTACACCCCACAACTGACCTCTAACCCAGACCGGGGCGCCTTGTCTAATTCCTTCATCTTACCTGGATCATAGCGTCTGAGGCAGAGTGAGATACCGTCCAAGAAGTTTACATCTGTACCCACAATGCTCCGAGGTCACCATGGACTCACTCAGGTCGATCTTTCCTGAAGTATACCCCCAGTAATACACGTCTGTTTCACTGGCGATGTAACCCGCCCTACCACAAGTCTTCCAGACACATACCCCGGCCCAAATCATCACTATGGCTTTCCCCTGGACACCCAGCCTTAGCGAAGCTAGATCTATCAGCCGCTGACTAACATGGACTGTGGAATAAACACTTATGATGACGAGGATGAAGACAATGGTGATCGTGAGGGTACAAATGGCCACGAAATTGTCATCGAAACTAGCACAGTCGCGCCGGGCAGAAAATCTGGCAAGCCGCGGGGCTTCGGAAGGACTTGAGCAGTTTGCATGACCAGCGCTGACCAGGTGGAGCGGCGGGCCAAGGCCGATGATTTAAGAGCCGAAGTTGAGGAACGCACGTGCTATGGCGAGAGTTGCGAACAAATTGCTGGTGCCCTGATCGCTAAGGGTGTATAAGTCACAGATAAGAGCATCAGCCGCTGGCGCGTACAATAGGGCTTCCGGAAAAGAGTCGGTTGGCACCATCCCAGGCATTGTGTTCCCGTACTATGTCCTCTAACAACATCAGTACACAGGCTGTACGCACGCTGACCAAGCCACCAAAACCGCTGGAAGAGTGCATCAACAAAACAAAAGCTTTCCAATCACGATACAAGAGTGATGTAATCCGCTTGTCGCAGCAGGGCTTGGCCGTTGGAGTTATTGCGCATGTCATGACGGCGAGGACATGGAGCTGAAGAAAGGTGCCCGGTACTATCACTCGTCTTCAAACCGTTGGGGAATTTGGGGTGCCCGAAGACAAGAGGTTTGAAAATGCGATATACCTGGCCAGGAGGAAAGCCAGGTCCCAGCAACTGGAAGAATTCAGGAATCATACACGGAATTGGGCTTGGACGATATCGGAGTCGAATACCCTGGCCAGTCGAGCCCCTTCCATTGAAGACATCGAGGCAGCTCGCCTGAAGCTAAAGCAGTCGGCACAATCAATTACCGATAGTTCATGACGCCAAGGTCTGCGGCCGCGGCTTGTGGACATTAATTGCTCAGTGTGGTTCTTTAAAGCGATGTTTACGCAATGACATTACTTCCTGCACGTGGCGTCTAAGCAGTATTCTTCTATTGCATTGCAAGCAGATTATTACAGTATGCACCCATGTATTTTGGGTTTAGGTTTCAGCTCCCTTCACAGTTTCTGCCCACTTCTTCGCACCTTCGTACGCACAGTTGTACTTCATAAACTGTCCTGGGTTGAGCTTTACCTCGTTGGAGTTCGCGTCTGTCCCGGGCCGCGCCTGCTGGCGACTGTATTTTTGTATCAGGCTTGCTCGCTCGTATCGTGCATCGAATATTTCTCTTAGAACTTCATTGACTTGACCACCAGATGCACCAGCGGGCAGGTCGACCAGATATGCTGCTAGAGCCTCCGCGTCTTCGATGCTCTGCGACGCGCCTTGGCCTTGAGTCGGAAGCATGGCATGTGCTGCATCACCAATGAGGATGGCGCGCCCGCGCACCCAGGTTGGCAGCGGATCAATGTCGCGGAGTTGCCAAAGAGCCACATCAGGGGCTCGCCTGAAGATCTCCAACATCCACTCTGGGAAATCCTTGTATGCCTCCAGCAGTGCCGGTACTGAGCCGGGGGCCACCCAAGAATCAGCCGCAGACTCCCCCTGCGCCAGACTATCGGGTACGAGGGCCACGATGCCAAAAACAGAGCCTCCACGCCCTGGCCCCATGATCACGCGTCGGTCATGACCCACGACCATCGTTGTTACCGGGTTCGACGGGTCCAGGATATGCTTAGGGATGTCGATGCCGGCAAGCTGCTCGACAGGCAGGAGCACGCGATACGCGCTGATACCCGTAGGTATTGCTGCGCGGGGCTCGCCTACGATGGAGTTGCGGAGGACCGAGTGGATGCCGTCAGCGCCGACAACGACATCACCCACGTATTCCTCGCCATCCTCCGTTCGGACTAGCCCTGCCTCGGGATCGCAGCTTGATATCTTCTTCCCAGTGAGCACCTCGGCCGGTGGTCCTGGCAGCTTGGGGGAGGTTGCGGCCTGTAAAAGCGCGGAGTGTAGGTCCTGCCGGTGGTACAGGATGCGGTCGGCGCCGAACATGGACGTGTCGAGGTGCACCTCATTGACTAATTTGCCACTCACGTCGAATAGCCGGAAGGCTTTGTCGACCATGGGCTGGCAGGGCTCAAGGAAGGACGATATGTCCCAAGAGTTGACGATCTTGGTCGCATTGGGCTGCAGGCTGATCAGGGCCCCGGTCTCTCGAAGCATGCGTGATCGTTCGAGGATAGTTATGCGATGTCTGGGCGAACGCAGAGCTATGGCCTATAGAACACGGCGGGTTAGATCTTCTGTCCGTTATGTGCATTGGAGTAGCGGTGATGTCCAAACTTACGCTTGCTAGACCTGCAATGCCGCCGCCCACGATTATAATCTTGATTTCCTCCGTGAGGCTACTCATGTTTGAAGTATTATATGTATGCTGTCCTTTCCGTGTCAGGGAGATCTGCAACCGCAACACAATAAGTGTATGTGCTCAACGGGGCAAAGGACAACTCGGTTTCACACTTTGAGAAGGCCTCGTCTTGAAGCAGGAAGTCGACTAGAGTTCTCTATGTAACAATTGTTTACATCCTACAATCAGTTGAAGCGAAATAATTGCTTGGTTTTACACCCCCTCATGGGACTTCTCAACATCTCCAAGTCGGCCGCCATCCGGTAACTCGGAGACGCTCAAGCTCCCCCTTGTAAGACGCGGACATCTTCTCGCGAACCGAACCGAACCGAGAGTGGGCCATGGGCTTGTGTCAGATAGTGTCGAGATTGGACGGTCGAGACCCATCAATTCCAACTTCCCCGCGTTTCTCTCCACATTCTCCAAGCCACTGGAAGCCAACTGGAGATGCCCTGACACTATCCCCTCACGCTCAGAGTCGTGGACCGTCTAGGGTGTTTTAGGGGTCATGTGGGGTAGCTAGCGCACAGCCGAGGACTGGGCCGGGCGAACAGTTGTTCACGTATATGTCAGGCTGGCACCGCGTCCCGAACCGAAAAGTCTGGAGTCGAACCACCTACACAACTCGTCGTACGATTGAGTTTCTCGATCTCATGTCTCTGTCCCCGTCCCGCAGTCTGCCGGCGGTCTCCGCTACTGCGGCCGATCAACCTCACCGGAAGCGGATCCGGCTTTCACTTGCTTGTAACCAGGTCCGGATGTCTTTTTCTTGTCTTTTCTGTGATAATGACTCCCGGCTCGAGACTAACATGATGGTCAGTGTCGCAAGCGCAAGGTTAGATGTGATACAACTCTTCCCAAGTGTCGCAATTGCATCTTGCGCAATGAGGACTGTCAAACCACAGACCCGCGCAACCCGACCAAAGGGCTGAGCGTGCGGACCTGGGCTACCAAGGATGGCAGTGGCCCTGGTGACTGGGATAGAGACCGACGAATGTCTCATTTCGGCGCCGGATCTCAGACGTCCGGGACCGGTCCGGGTGCGGGTACGCCACCGGAGTCCAGCCTCTCAGATCTGTCGCCACGCCCGCACCGGCGCGCTTCAATCGCGGGCGGTGGGGAAAAAGGAACTTCGTGGCAGGAGAGGGCATATCGTGAGAACACGATGGGAAACGGAGCGAACCCTCTGCCAGCCTCAACTCCCGATCTAGTGGTTAACACAGATGACACTGCTTACAGGGTAAAGGTGAGCGACTTCATAGCAATTCTTCAGCAAGTACATCAGGGTTTCAGGCTGATTTTAATCGCGTTCAGTTTCTCGGTGGGAGCAGTATTCAGTGCCTCTGCCGATTTGTAGATCTGCACCTCGCCCACAGGGGTTTAGAGCCAGCCAGTGGACGGTTCAAGCATGGAATGCGCCAGAGCGAGGAGATGTCCCTGCCCCTTACCCTGTCCCTGCCGGAGCTACCAGCTGTTGAAGAGCTCAAAGTATACGTCGACGCCTTCTTCGACAGAGTATGGCCACTTTTTCCAGTGGTAGACTGTGATGCTGTGCAGGCTGAGATCGACAACATTCTGGATATTCAGATCAAGCATCCAGGGTCGCTCGCAAGTCGCCTCGCGCCTACAAGCATACCAATGCTGGCCATCGTGTATGCTATAGTCTGTATCGGGGCCGACGAAACGTCACGGCAACTATCAGATTTGAGTACCCGCTTCCTCACTGGGGCCTACTCGCTGATTGCCCATCTTATTGCAATCCCATACCTGACAAGCGTCCAGGCGTTATTTCTCATCTCCCTCGCGCTACGAGGCCAAGTCAAGGACGGACAGGCATGGCATGTCCTGGGGCAGGCAATCAGGACGGCGCACTCTATTGGCCTACACAAGCAGGTTATGCGCAGAGGTGAAGGTGCGGGCGAGGCATCACAAGGATATCGCACCGATGCTCAGCTGCATCAAAGAATTTGGTGGTCGCTCTATGCCCTCGAGAAACTGACCCAGCTCGAGTGCGGGCGGCCGTCTACGATTTGTGACCATGATGAAGACCAGGTGCCTATGGTCCCCACGGTGTTTGCGCCGAACGCGAGGGTCGACATCTTTACGGCCTGGGTCTCGCTTGCATGTATCATGGGGCAGATCTCGGATCATATCTACTCGCGTAAGCCCGAGAGCTCCCTGGACCTCTTCAGCAAGACAGCGAGCCTAGACAAGGCGCTCGTTGAGTGGGAACGATCCTTACCGGATCATCTGAAGCAAGGTCAGAGTGCTGGCGGCAACATAGGCGAGCGCCCGGGTGATGGGGTACAGACGCAGTCTTTGCATTTGTCCAGCTTCCTGGCCTTGCAATTTCATTTCGTAAGTCCCTCCACCCTTTCCCGACGTAACGACTGCGCAATCTTATGCCAGTGATGTGCTGTTGGCATTACAGATTTGTTGACCATTCACTCTTTTCAGGCGCATATAACGCTCCTCCGCGTTGCCATAATATTCCCACACAATAGCTACGTGAACGAGGTCTCACGGCATGCGGCTCTCCTCAACTCCACCAGCGCCTCTGGGGGACCGTCGTCTTCAAGCTACACCCGGCTTCAAAACGGCGCCATGATTTGTGCCTCCGCGGCCCGGGCAACCATCACCCAGACTCTTCACCTAGCAGACCAAGGTGTGCGGTCTCCCGCGATCCTCGGGGCCACACCTCCTTTCTTGGCTGCCAACATTCTGGCTCTGACCATCCTCCGCCAGCCTGCCCGCCGCCTCGCTAGAGCCGATCTTGAGCTCCTCAATTTGGCCACCGAGCACGTCGAGGATCACTTCTCGCGCTGGGTCAGAGGCCGCGATGCGGAGTCCTTCGTGGAGGGCTGTGCCGTCCTGAGAGACCGCATCGGCGAGGCTTTTGCCAAGTACCATGCCAGCCCTAGTGGCAGTGTCGGCGTCGTGGGCGGTCAGGGGCCTGCGGCAACACCGCTGACGGCAGATACTGCCGGCACAGGGAGCGGTGACGCCTACGCCCGGAACGGCGAGCCGGTGCAAGATGGGATCAGTCAGCAAGAGGTGCTGCCAGGTGGTGGTTCCACGGCAACGGCCTTCCCATCCACCGTGACCACATCGCACGGAGCTAGCGGTGTTGATGAACTGCCGTCCGAGCTGTTCGAGGACCTTCAGTTCGATGAGCTGTGGGGCATGATGGGAGATGATTTCCTCATAGGAACTGAGCAGATTTACCTCTCCTGACGAGGGTTTTGTGTGTATATGCCTGTACGAAGAAGCGAGTGTGTGGTGTATACTAGCATTGTACTATGGTTGGCAAATTAGGACGCTTCATATATGAGCAATGTTTAGCGATAACGAACGAAATGAACTACTAGTCTCTTTAAAAGTTATCAAAGTGAGCTCAGCGTGCATCGTCTCTCTCCCAACTTTGTCGGGACGTGGAGTTGTCGGCTGGTGTTCTATGCGACGAGTTCCCTTAGGGGCGTGATGGCCAAAGGCCGGGGTTACCTCATAGGCCTATAGGGTACATTGAATTGATCTTTGAAACTCTGAAGATTTGCACAATGGATCACGGACCAACTCCCATACATAGAAGCAAAAAGCGCTGACCAGTACTTGTTTGTATGGGAAGGCCGGTAATAGCAAGGGAAATAGAGACTATTTTAGGGATAGCGAGAAGTTCTCTTCATTTGATTGGACATTTTGTGGTGCGTGGTCCGTGATCCATTGTGCGAATCTTTTGATTTTCGATGGCTGGCTTATCCTTACTTGAAGGTACCTATATAGGCTCACAATATAAACACATCTGGCAATTGCTCAGTAAGCCTGTCCGACAGGCTTGATCCATGGGTTCAAATCTTTTGGAGTTAAGCGCGCTAGTCAACATGCATGCGTCCTCCTCATCCCTTTCCCCGGCAACTTGAGCAGTACCTCCCACCCATGGGAGAATAATTATGATAATTCAATGGCGATGAATTCCGTAAAGATCCGTAGTTGAAGAGTATTATTGAGCGAGATGGTCCCTTATCAGGCCAGCCCCCCCCCCCCTCCCCCCCCCCGGAGGCAAATTTCACAAGAAAGAAATACAAGTATATATTTTTCCCCCTCGAGATTTGGTGCCATACTCTCAAAAACAAGCCCTTGACCTACCCGTACTCAAAAAAGAATCAACCGTAGCGGCATATTGGTGGTGAACAGATTTGTAGACGGTGCTTTCCAATGCGAATGCGCCGTGCTCTCACATAAGTCACATTACTGTACCTATCGATAATCGATTTTCGATGACCCAGCTTTATCGATAAGCAGACCCCTGGCCCCATTTGCCATGGTTTGGTTGTTTCATTGGAACTTGAATCGGAGGCCTCCAGCTCACTGCGGCGCCAAGTCCATCAAACTTTCTACCATCCACTCCGCCACGCTTGGCGAATTTCGCGTCGAGTCGTGGTATTGTTTCCTTAGCAAGTCGGGCGTCGGTGCAGGGCGTGAGAGCGATGCTGCGACATTGCCAGAATTGGGTCCAAGTCGACGGGAAAGGAGAGAAGTTCCCATCCGAGTGGAACGGAGGGCTCAATCTGGTATGATGTACCTAGGTCTGGTAGCTCTCTGTGAACTGAAACCAAGCTCCCCCTGCCTAGCTCCCACGTTTTACCCTGAGCTGTTGTGGGGCACGGAGCAGGTTGCAGACTTGTGTGACGCACAAGACTGCAGGGCGGAGAAGGACGCTCAGATGAACCACAGCAGCGAGTGAAGAAAACGGCCGTGTGCCTGACGTCGTCATCCGCTCGTCTGCCCACAGCAAGTTACAAAACATAGTTACGCGCTTGACGAGACATACTCCCCCTGCTGCCTCCAGCCCCAAGTGACGGTGCAGAAACGACCTCTGCCAAGAAAATCACCTCTCGACGAACCAGGCCAATCCCCGTGGCTCGCAAATCTGGCCCATCGACGAATCCTTGGCGCTCGCATCCTGTTGGTCTGCTCCAGTCAACGCAGGGCGGGACTTGCAACCTTGCATCTTCACTATCGATCGTCACCCATTGCAGCTCCCGGAGGCATCATTCAACCTACTGTGCGGTCTCTACAGGCCTACCAAGCTTTCCCCATTGCCCACGCCCACGCCCACGCCCACGCCCACACTTTATCGATAGTGCGCGTCTTCCCTGAGTCGCCAGTTAGTTTTCCATCGTCTGCAAAAGCCAATCTTTGCCGCAGCACATCTTAGGCTCTTGGTATCCCCATACCCAAGACTTTCCAGCCACATTGGGATCTGCCTTGCGATCTTGCGACTCTACCCTTTTTTTCCTCGTGAAGCAGTGTTTCTCTTCCACCATGGTGTGTAAGTAGAGCATATTTGATCCCCTTCATATCCACCCGGCAGCCTTTGTCCCTCCCCTTGCCTTGAGAGCAGCGGGATACCCAATCCGTCGACGGTGCTGGTTGTTGCACCCAAACGCAAATACATTCCTCGCCTCCCCCGGTGCGGCTCTTCAGCCTATCGGCCAGCCGTGTTCGTCGTCGCGCATCGTGTGGTGTCTATGGCCGCTCGAGATCACAACCGCCAATACCGAACGCCCATGCGCACTTGTGGCTAATCAGGACCGCGATGGATCGCAATGCAGTAGGACCGAGTTTCCATGAGCGCGTGCGCCGCACTTTCAGCGTAGGAGCATCCAAGAACCATCAGAATGGAGGCGCTCACGAGGCCACACCTCTCCTTGCCGGGGATTCTCTCGGTGGAAGCCACGAGCACAGCGAGACGTATGACTTCTTCCTGAACAGCCACTACACTCCGGGCGCGGACAGCTCGAAGCCGTGGGTCAGGATCCCGGCCACTGTGTGGCATATCGCAAAGGCGACACTGCTCAGCAGTAAGTTCAGACGCGTTCGGTCCAGTTGGTGGGCAGCCATGGGATAACCAGTATTTCAGACTACGTGAATGTGCTTCTCGTCTTTGTGCCAATTGGTATCATCGCGGGCATTGCCGAGTGGGATCCGGTGACAGTATTCGTCATCAACTTCCTCGCCATCATCCCGCTTGCCGCCGTGCTCTCCTTCGCTACCGAAGAGATCTCTGTGAAGCTCGGCGAGTCGCTTGGAGGCCTGTTGAACGCCACCTTTGGAAACGCGGTTGAGCTGATTGTACGCTTTCTCTTCCTCCCAACTTATGTCTCGTGGTTTCTGCTGGGTTTCTGCTAGGCCGATTGCTGACACTGCCCCGATTAGGTCAGCATCATCGCTCTTCGGGATGGCCAGTACGAGGTTGTCAAGTCTTCCATGATCGGCTCTATCCTGTCGAACCTTCTTCTTGTTATGGGCATGTGCTTCGTGTTCGGCGGCATCGCCAACATGAGGGACGGGGCAGGAAACGGCCAGGAACAGACTTTTGCTTCCATTACAGCCCAGACAACCTGTTCCCTCATGACACTGGCCGCGGCTTCTATGATTCTGCCCGGCGCGGTAAGTAGCGCTATGACCCTGTGATGCTTGAACGCCGAAGCTGATTCACTCTGTAGCTGTCCATCGTCCTTAACCAGACCCTAGACGATAAAGAGCAGCGCGACGCGACAATTCTTAATCTGTCTCGTGGAACTGCTGTCCTCCTACTCCTCCTATACATTCTCTACCTGTGGTTCCAACTGCGGACGCACCACAACCTCTTTGGCGCCGAGGCCGCCGCAGCCAACGTCGAATCGCTCGAAGGAAGTGGCCCCGTTGCGACACCTGCGCAAGTTGAAGACGAGCCCGAGGAGCAACACATGAGCCCCTGGGCCGCGGGTGGAGTGCTCATTGTCACCACCATCCTCGTCTCGATCTGCGCCGACTATCTGGTTGACAGCATCGACGCACTGGTAGATAGAGCCGGCCTCAGCCGGAACTTTATCGGTCTGATCCTGATCCCAATTGTGGGCAATGCGGCCGAGCACGTCACTGCCGTCGTTGTAGCCATCAAGAACAAGATGGACCTGGTACGCCTATTCATGCAGATCTGTTGGGGGCGATTTATGCTAATCTGTCGACGCAGGCTATGGGAGTTGCTATTGGTTCGAGTATCCAGATCTCTCTATTTGTTACGCCGTTCTTGGTTATCCTCGGTTGGATGATGAACCGGCCCATGAACCTGCACTTTGAAACCTGTACGTGGAAAAACGACCTCTCCCAGAAATCGACTTGCATTATACTGACGCGTTCACAGTCGAGACGGTTTCCTTTGCGCTGTCTGTTCTGGTGGTTACGTACACTGTGCAGGACGGCAAGTCCAATTACCTTGAGGGTGCCATGGTAAGTCTCATTACAGCCCAGCTCGTTCAACCTGCGAAATATGTATACTGACTTTCGTCTAGTTGATGGCTCTCTACATCATCATTGCTGTAGCATTCTTTGTCACCCCTAGCGGAGCGCTTGACGACAACTCCCTCTAAATATGGGGTCGAGCGAGAACCTTTTCCACATCACCGAGCACACGGAAGCGCGGCGCAGCGTTGTTTGCTGGGGCGGAAGTTGGACCTCGGCGACAGCAGGTTACACATACAACGGCTGTCAACATCAAAAGGACAGAAGTCCAGGGATACCAAATATTTCCTTACAATCCATCCATCCATTCATCTATCTATCATACAGTCAAATCCAGGTCAGCGGCCGTCGTTCAGATACCGAAAGAGCGACTTTCGTAGGGCTGCATCTTTGGCGCTGACATGTGCCATTACCACCAAGCCATGACTGTACCTGGCTGACTTAAAGTCACCAGTAAATAATCCATACCCTCAATATGTACTATATTTTTTCCTCTTTGGCTATTTGCAGACATCTAAAGGCATACTATTATGGTCGTAGTCACCAGCGTTGTGAATCCGCATCCACGAGGCACGTGTGTGAGTCCTTCCTCGGGGACCCTGTTAATTACCACTAATATCACCTATCTATACCTTTCGCTAGAGTCTCAACTCGCGCCTGACTCTCTGGTTTGTAGGCGAGGGGAGCGACGCAAGCTTGCCAACTGTGCGGCAGTGGAACCACGGCCGCGGTGAGCCGGGCCCTCCTGCTCTTCACCGCTATCCTCGGCGCTGCCCTCCTCCTGAACGTCATCGTCAATTCTCATCTAATCCATGTTGCAGAGACGCTTGGCTTCCAGGTCGGGTGGTATCTCGAGCAATGTAGGAATAATCATCTTAGCTTAGTTATGCTACAAGTCGAGCGGCCAAGGCGGGGTAGCTTGAGCTTTTGTGGCTTGGCAAAAATGCCGAGGGGTGGTGAATCGCCCCGCTGGAACGAACCCACACGTCATAACATAACAAGCTGACCAACGATGATCTATCGAGGTAAGTTCACCTTCGGACTTGTAGGGAGAAGAAATAAAGATTTTGGTAGCACTTTGACCACGCCTACCGCCGACGCAGATATCGTTCCACGTCTGCGCATTACATGTCAGCTCTTCGCGCCTTTCAGAGAATCCGACTTCAAACAGGACTGCTGCAAAAAGCTCCCCGCCCACTTGGTGAGACACAGCATCCATCCCCATCCCATGCATGCGATTGATCAGTCGTTGATGGCGTCTAACTGGGGCCCAGGCGCATTCCGAGGCTTCGCAAACATGGCGACGACTACAGACACCAAGAACTACAAGTTCAACCACTCGATGTAAGAGGTTTGCCATGCACTACTGCTGCAGAGCCGTTGGCTAAAGTGGAAATGGGACAGGCTTCGGGTCAAGGATCCCAAGGCATCTGGTAAGATAAAAGCCGCCGACTGCCCCTCAAGGTCCTCGCGCAAACCACCGCGCTGGAAATATAGCCAATACTGTAGTACTAACAGGCACGGCGTCCCTTACTAGTCAAGTTCTACGAATTCCTGGGCATGAGCTTGATCAAGCACCTGCAGTTCCCCGAGGCCAAGTTCGACCTATACTTCCTGGCCTACGACTCACCGAACGCCCTCTCCTCGGGCAACTCGACATTTGACCGCGAGGGCGTCATCGAGCTGACCCACAACTATGGCACCGAGAACGACGACAACTACACCGTCAACAATGGCAACAAGGAGCCGCACCGCGGCTTCGGCCACGTCTGCATCAGTGTCGACAACATCCAGGCCGCCTGCAACCGCATCGAGCAGGCCGGCTACAAGTTCCAGAAGAAGCTGACCGATGGCCGCATGAAGCACATCGCCTTCGCCCTCGACCCGGACGGCTACTGGGTCGAGATCGTGAGCCTCAAGATAGGCACCAAGGGCGCCGACGACCCCAACGAGCCCTCGGACCCCAGCGCCACCGACCCCAAGTCCTACCGCATGAACCACACCATGATCCGCGTCAAGGACGCCCAGAAGTCGCTCGAGTTCTACCAGGACAAGATGGGCATGACCCTGTTCCGCACCGTCGAGCAGGAGGCCGCCGGCTTCAACCTGTACTTCCTGGGCTACCCCGGCGAGAAGGGCGTGCCGGAGAACGGCTTCACGGCCGACTACGAGGGCCTCCTCGAGCTGACCTGGAACTACGGCACCGAGAAGGACGAGAACTTCAAGTACCACGATGGCAACTCGCAGCCGCAAGGTTTCGGCCATATTTGTGAGTAGTCGACATTTCCCTTGGCAGCCGTCGTCCATCGGTGACCGCAACCCATACGAAGCATTGCGCTGACCCACATCTAGGTGTTTCGGTAGACAACATTGATGCTGCGTGCCAGCGATTCGAGACCCTGAACGTCAACTGGAAGAAGCGCCTCACGGATGGGCGCATGAAGAACGTTGCTTTCGTGTTGGATCCTGATGGCTACTGGGTAGAGATTGTCCAGAACGAGCGGTTTGCTGGCAAGGCCAATTTTTAATTTGGTGATGGACGTTCGGCCCTTTTGGTACTAACATGACGAACTGCCATACCAGTTGCACTCCAGCTTCATATCTGCCAATTTCAGCACCAGACACTATGATCGACAAGACTCAATATGTCAAGTGATACTTGCGAGCACGGCTTGCATCTATCTCCTTAAGCCAATGACCGTTTACGAGAACGTCATCAATGATCGTAACATCCCAATCATGACGTCTCATCCTTCAATGCCACCATTCATTGCCTGCCGCTCTTGTACATTCGGCTATTGAACCATTTTCTCCTTGGTGAATGAATGCTAACAACGGAGTTAGCCACTCTTCTGGTTTCATGTGGTCTGTCGGCATTTCAAAGCAGACTAATTCATTTGTCAATAACAATTTTTGCATCTTCAATTTTCAGCCACTCCAGTTGCCATGTTTAATACGCCTGGTGCGAGGACTAGAGTTGAACGAGCCTGCACCACCACCCGCCACTTCGACACCTCGTTAAGCAGACGATCAACCAGGTCTCAACCAGGTCTAATGATAGCTCCGAAAGGAGCAGGTTCTTTTGCAGTGCTACTCTCATTGCGTTTTAGGGTAGCTTCGAGTATTTGTCATGCTGCTACACAGTAGACCGACAACACCCTCGCAAGTGTCAGCGCTGGTCCAATATTCCGTCAGCCTGGATGACAGCGAGACCCTTGCCCAGTGATCCCATCTGACGAATGAAGTCAAGCTACCCAGATCACGACTGGCAAGCAGCCCCCTGTCCGCGGGGGTCGCCCATCTTTTTGACTTGCATTAGCGCGGCGTGGGGTAGAGACTAACCCCAACTCCCTTGCCCACGTCTTACGCGGGGTCGAGAGCTTGAAGTCATTCCGGGAACGGATGCTCACTTAAGCAGTCGAGAGGCATGATGGGGGTATTCGTGGCCCGTCGGGGGTCAGAGCACACCAAGTTCATTACAGGTGGAAATGACTGATAGGGGGCTTTCCCTGATCAAGGCAGGTAACAGCGGTGTCCTCGTCGTGGCGTGGTGTTGGGCAGCCACTTGGTATTATACCAATCTACGTCCTCCTGCAAGCTCCTCCCTTTCCGGAATCCCGCCCGCTTTACCCGCGAGGCACCCTGTGGAAGCCTCCTTGAGGCCAATGGGCTGAGTTTTCACAATATCGAAGCAGCACTCTGGTGCTACTTAGCCCCTGCGTGCCTGTTTGACTTCCTCCACTGATGTCAGCTGCGAGTGCGGAGGGACATGTGAGCCTCTTTGTTCACTGGCACGTCATATTCTTCTTGCTTGAAAAGTAGGTGCCCCTCACCTCACTTGATTACAAGGTAACTTGCCCCTTTGTAAGTCAGCCGTCTCATATTATGTTCGAGCAATCTGACTAGCACTAGTCTTCTCGTCGTTCAAGTTCAACTCGTACCCTACTTCACGCCTCAATCATCACCATGGTTCCTGGCCCCGTCTCGAACGACAGGCTAGGCGCCTCCAACGGCCGCTCCTCCCCCAAGCCGCGCATCCTGGTCCCCGAGAAGGTCTCGCCCGATGGCCTGGCCCTCCTAGCCTCAGACTTCGATGTCGACTCCCGGCCGGGCGGCCTCTCGCCCCAGGAGCTCATCGACCTGATCCCCTCGTATCACGGCCTGATCGTGCGCTCTGAGACAAAGGTGACAGCGGCCGTCCTCGCCGCCGGCACGAGTCTGCGCGTCGTGGCCCGCGCCGGAGTCGGCGTGGATAACATCGATGTTGAGGCCGCCACGGCCCAGGGGATCATTGTCGTCAACTCGCCTGCGGGCAACATCGTCGCTGCCGCCGAGCACACGGTGGCTCTGCTGCTAGCCACGGCGCGCAACATCGGCCGCGCCGACCGGACATTCAAGGATGGCAAGTGGGAGCGCGGGAAGTTGGTTGGCGTCGAAGTCGGCCGTAAGACGCTCGGTATTATCGGCCTCGGCAAGGTGGGCATGAAGGTCGCGCGCATGGCCGTCGGCCTGGGTATGAAGGTCCTGGCCGTCGACCCGTATGCCAGTGCCGATGTGGCACGCCAGGCGAGCGTCGAGCTCGTACCCGGCCTGGCCGACCTGCTCCCGGTCGTCGACTTCCTGACCATCCACACCCCCTTATTAGCTAGCACTCTCGACCTTTTAGGCGAGGCCGAGTTTCAGCGGATGAAGAAGACGGCGCGCGTCCTCAACGTTGCTCGAGGTGGGGTGTACAACGAAGCCGCCCTTCTGAAAGCCCTGGATGAGGGTTGGATCGCCGGCGCAGGGCTCGACGTCTTCACAAAAGAGCCGCCAGAGGAAGGAAGCGTCGCGGCCCAGCTTGCGCGCCACGAGAAGGTCGTCTCGACACCGCACTTGGGCGCGAGCACCGTCGAGGCCCAGGATAACGTCAGTCTTGACGTCTGCAGCCAGGTCCTGCTCATCCTCCGGGGCGGCCTGCCGACCGCTGCCGTCAATGCGCCTCTGATCCTGCCCGAGGAGTACCGCAAGCTGCAGCCCTTCGTCAAGCTCATAGAGAAGATGGGTGGACTGTACACGCAACACTACGTCGGGGCCCGTGGCGGCATGGTAGGGGGCAGGAAATTCGAGCTCGTGTACCAGGGCGAACTGGCGGGCATCAACAACACCCGGCCCCTCTTCGCGGCCCTGGTCAAGGGCCTCGTGTCCTCCATCTCAGACTCCGGGGGTCGCGACGTCAACATCGTGAACGCGGCGCTTATCGCGCGCGAGAAGGGCATCGTGATTAACGAGGTGCACACGCGCGAGAACAGCGGCAGCACGTACGCCAGCCTGGTGACGCTGCGATCGTACGACACGGACCCGGCCGCCGCCGGCAAGGAGGAACGGGGCGCCGAGCAGATCATCGAGGGCTACGTCAGCGGCAAGACGGTCTACATCTCCAAGCTGGACCGGTTCACGGCCAGCTTCACGCCCGAGGGCACACTGCTCATTCTGCATAACTATGACGAGCCCGGAAAAATCGGCGGCGTCGGCATGGTCCTGGGCCGCCGCGGCGTCAATATCGAGTGGATGCAAGTCGCAAGCCTGGAGAAGGGGGATCAAGGGGACAAGGGCTTGGAGTTGAGCAAGGTAGATAGTGCAGTCGCAGGGATGGAGGCCCATGGCAGTAACACCAAGGGGAGGGGTAACGAGGCGCTGATGATCCTGGGTGTTGGTGGTGTGGTGGGCAAGGAGGTCTTGCAGGATTTGACTGGCGAGGAGGGTATCTTGGATGTGAGCCTTATTAGATTGTAGAGCACGATAGCCATGGGATGAGCGTTGGATATACTGTAGTCAACCACACGTGCGATCTAGAAAGGTAGATCCTGCGACACGATCTCAACATTTGGGTCGCTTCAGGTAGTAGTATAGATTGCATGAAGGTCAGGCACGTACGCCAATGGCTTAATAAGACTATACGTCACATGATGGCATATACAAGTGACACCCATTCTATCAAAGCCCATCAAAAATACAGCACGGTGAATTTCGTTCTCTTGTGGAACCGCTTCAGACCAGTGTAATAATCTCCTCTTCTAGCCCGTCCTCTGCCACTGGCCCGATTGCAGTCGCGCTCCTCGATACTTTTCTTGGCGCCAACCTCGTCCTTACATGTCCAGGAGCCCCATACGCAGCCGTGATGCGGAACATTCCTACGTGTCGATATATACTCAGCCCTACCTCTTCCACGAGAAGTCCTGCGGCCAAGCAGTCCGTCGCCCTCTTTGGTGCCCTGACAGTGATTTGCAAAGCCTTATATTCTGTGTCTGGCGTACCTGCGTCAAATGACTTGACAAGCTTGTCTCCGTGCGATGGAGTGTCGAGGATAGACGAGCGACTGGCATTGCGAACTCCGAGGCATCTGATTAGCAGCCCGGCGCTTTCGTATGATGTTCTCGACCGAGAATTCAGTTTCAACACCTCGATGACCTGGATGACAGCAATGGAGATCTCAAGATGCACACCGCCCCAAAAAGGCCATCTGATGAGCCCATCGATAGACGGCCACGACCAAGAAGGGGCTCGGAATCCAGCTGGCCGCCGGGTTACTGCCCCGTCTTCTGTGCACCACACCATTTGATGCTCGATGTATTTCAACCATAGCCCTGCAATGTACTCGTCGTTGGTCTTTCCCTGTAGCCAATTCGCAATGCCAGATATGGCTATCAACTTGTCCCAATGGTCGGTAGGGTTACACCGCGAGTATTGGGTGACAGTATCGATCCAAACATTGAGGTTACTCTTACGCTTCTGGAACCAAGCGTGCTGCGTCGACAACGGGGAGGGCATATCCTCGGAAAAGGTTTCGCATGCGAGCTTCTGTCCACACTCCCATATCAGCTGTTGTGAAGTGAAATGAATCGTTCTTGGGGTGAGAAAACGCTCCTGTAGTGCCCAAGCCCGTGAGACTAAGGGGCTCTCAGCGATATTCTGCCTGTATATGTCGAAGTTGAAGCCGTCGAATGCTTGTGAGCCAGTTTGATCAGATGCGGTGAGCTGTTGGGCGGCGACTGCGGCAGGGTCTCTCTCTTGGTAGCAGCCGACACTGCCATCAGCAGCTCCCGTGGCCGCAATATTGAGGCTGGAGCTACCATAGATCTCGCTCATCAACACGGCTTCCCTGGACCAATCACCATCGTCGTCCTGCAGTATGCATAGCGAGTCAATCCATATATACTTAAGCCCAACTCGTCTAGTAATATCCACAGCGTCCCGAAAGGTTTTGGCAACCTGCTGGGAGGGTATCCGCACTTGAAGCTCCTCAAGGTTGTCACGTTTTAATGTGAACATTGCCAACTTGCCCCAACAATGGCTTAGTGTCGCGTATCGAAAGTCCTCACCAGGTTGTGAAGTAAGATTGCTAGATACGACATCGCGTTCATAGTCTGGCCGTATTTCAACGAGTCGTGTTGGAAGCATTTTTGGGGGGTTTTGGCAGCCGGCAAGTTTTGATGGTTCTCATCACAGATTCTTATCCATTGTTTTTAATTTGACGGCTAGATGTTTTGGATCCAGTCAACGCCTCAACGGCCACAGGATCTCGAGCAGTGTTAGAAGGTGTACCTCAACACTAGCCACGTGTAAGAATCGTACTTACCGCCTCTATGCACTAGCTCACTGGTGGTGGGACGGAGCCAGAGACTCTGGTCCCACAGGACTTCTTGGGAGGATTCAAGTTGTCGATGATGAGGTTTATCCGCCAGGTGTCTGTTCCCTCTGAAGTGAACCAATTTATGTCGAGTGCCTGAGGTTTTCCCTCGTCCAACAGCAGTCGCCTCCTCTGGCTGGTTGGGAATATGCCGTAATAATAGAACAAAGTTCGCAAAGGCGACATCCAGCCGTCCGGGAATTGACTATGTCACCGAGACTCTTATGGTGATGCCCGCGGCGAGTTCTAAACCCATAAGCGAAGTTCGTCGAGACGCTTGTAAGTATGATGCTGACACAGTTCCTGCACCGTGAGCAGAACACGAGCTCTGCTTGTGGTTGAAGGTCTTGGCTGATGCTTAACACTGTATTGTCTAATTCTGCCTGATATATCTCACCCCTTCCCCAGCGACGAGCGATATATTTGTCCTCCTAGCCAAGACTCTGGGTCAAATGCGCCTCGCCTGTGTGAGGTCTGCTCACTGGGTGACCTGTTTGATCTGGTTCACGATCGTCTGTTGTACTACTACGCCTTGGTGCTCTGCGTGATTTCAACCTTTGAAACCAGGGCCTTGATATTTGAAGTTGCAGAGGCATCTTCAGGTGATATTTGCCAAGCCGCTTTCAACAAACATGGGCTTCTACCGCCCGTCGTCACTGGAAATTATTAGGCGATAGAGCTGTGCTGATTACGACGAAACGCAAGAAAAATCAAAGACAGAAGTTGACGGCCGAGGTCAGTTGAAGGTGCTGAAGAGTAAGACTTAAGCACAGGTAGGGATTCAACGTGGCCATCTCTGGCAGTCAACTGCCAGCTGTAGAGGCTGGCCTACATCAACTATACTGTAATACTCAAGTATCTATATCGGTACTAGGCGCAAAGTTTGATTTTTCTAAGCAGATTACCGATTCTGCGGCTTAATTACTTGTTGATGAACTGCATCTTATCTCGAAGTGTTGTGCCACGACTTCGGCGGACGGTTACCCAACAACTGGCATGCCACCCCGACCTTGAGCGGTAACATAGTCATCGAAGTCCTGCAGAGGCCATCACAGGCATGGTGTTGGGGCATCGGTGCACACTGCATGGATCATCACATGATTTGACGGTATTCGGAGATCATATGGCATAGGACACTAAAAGTTACGGAGAAACAACAGGGTATCTTGGGTTCTATTGAAGAAGAGTAGGATATCGGCGCAACGGTTTAAGCAGTCGGCTTGGCTTCCGAATCAAGCTTATAATCGTCGCGACCAAGCTTCAGAACATCGGCCTGCTCAATGACCCAGTACTTGCTCGGCGCCTTCCCTTGCTGAGCTAGAACGGCAGCATTGACAGCGGCACGCCCGATAACAGAAGCATGCTGACCTATCTTGTCCTTGAACATGCCCGGCATGGCGTCAACGATGGTATGTGCGATGGTCGTAGCATGCTTGGGGCCGGCTTCGCGCTCGCCGAGGATGAAACCTGGGCGGACAATAATAGCCTGCTCGAAGCCAAGAGACTGGATTGTATCCTCCACTCCCTGCTTCATCTGGGAGTACGGGACTCGGTCCGCCAAGAAGCCGCGGGTGCCGCCGGATGATATGAAGACGAAGGTCTTGACGCCGCTCGCCTTGGCGGCCTTCGCAATCTCGACATTCACTGGTACGCGCGCAACAGTCAGCTCTTGTCTATCAGTAGAGACCGATGGACTCACAATCGTGGTCAATCTTCCACTGGTTTGCGATCCCTCCGGCAGCTACCCTCGTCGTTCCCACGGAGGAGTAGACCACCTCGGGCGGCGGCGCGATCGAGGACAGGGCGGTTGTCCATTTCGAGTTGTCGCCTTCGACATGTGCAGACAGCTTCGATCCTTCAGCTTTCGGGGCGCGACGGGAGACCGTGTGGACGGCCTTTACGGAGTCCAGGCCGAGGAGGGTGGACAGGATGTGGGAGCCGACGAAGCCGGTGCTGCCGAAGACCGCTGTTGTCGTCATGGTGGATCTGGATGCGCGCTCGTTTGCAGAATCAATATTGTCGTAGAATGGTACTGGGCCGGTCCTGATGAAGAGTGGTTGACAAGTAGAAGATCAATTGGGAATGATGATTCCCGACATAAGTGCCAATGGATGTACCTAGGCAAATAACAAGATAGCTTCGCGGAAATATGACGAAATCTGCCTGACCAAGAACATTGGAACCTTCTGGCCGTGGAGCGGCGCGCTACGCTGCCGAGACAACCCCGCTATAATCGCCCGTCAAAACAGACAAATGGACGGAGCCGTATGCAAGGCGGCTCCGTCCTGTCGGGTCAGCATCTTATTTGAACTCGGGTTCGCATCTCATCGCCAGCTTTTGAGGATGACCGAAAACTCATGTGACGGGGTTGTCTACACTGGGAGCTACCATCTCAGAAGGGGTTGCTGGGCATTGCGCTCCCCGTTAGCCAACTTCCTCCGCCACTAAATTGGCAGCTGCACCTAGGTGCTATATCTATCTATACCAGCTGAGCCGATGACACCTATTGGTTACTTGATCGAAAGTTAGGCTACGCTATTCTACCCTGCCCAAGCACTTCTGTATCAGTCATTCTCAACATCGGCCGGCCCCAGCGTACCGAGCAAGAGGGCGGCAAAGCCCTGAAAATGAGTCGCCCTGCAACTACCAAGTCCTCTCCAAGTGGGAGACTCAAGAATCACTGAAAATGCACAATGGGGGCTTGGCATGGCCCAGTTAGGCTTGCTGCTGATCCACGGAAGGTATACTTTACCACTTTAAGGGATCATTCAATCATACCTAAGTTCATCAGAGCGAAAGTAATCCATGTTGGCTTCGGTCTTGATCAGTCGTGGAGTGACGGTTGGTGCTTGCTTCTTATCACCCATCCCAACAGCTGAAGTGCTGAAAAGGGTTCTAGAAGCAACAAAGGCGTGCGTACGGAGCTGGGCTGGATGCTCGGCTACAGCGGCTCGAAAGCTGCACCCGTTGGGTCTATGCTGATTCTCAGAGACTCAGAGGAGTTTCGTACTTGGGGAATACATGCACCCTGGAATCTTCGACGATGGCGCTAAAGAACCCACTGATAGTCCACTGCCCAATTCTCGTCAACGGCGTTCGGGCATTGAGCGACTGAACCAGGGTCCGTGGGCTTTTTTAACTTTCTTAGCTTTGTATACCAGGACTCAATGCGTGCTGCGATTCAGTGGCTGTCTCGAAAAGACCCTCGCTGCTTCAGATTGCAATAAGAATTGATTGGCGAGCAATGCGGGTGCATTTGCACTGGGCGATGGCTGCGCCATGATATCGTGAATTTAACTTCATATACCCTCCCCTTTGGTGTTACGACGGTTTGTAAGCCCTCTGGATGACGAGGCAAGACAAAGCGCCCGGACGAAACGCGGCCTCAGCCCGTCTGCGGACACCGCGGATGCCCGGATACGCCCGGATGCATAGAGTTGTTACAACCCAGGCCATAGCCAGTGTATTACTTCTGCCTACGCCGCCAGTTGTTCGACACTTCGTTAGTTGTCAAGGAAGCAATCTAGCCTTTGCGAGCGACGGCTAAGGAACGGGCCAGCCCACCACCGCAGTCATGATCAAAGACACCAACGATACGGCAATGAGGGACTTGCGATCATCCCGGGCAAGTAGGGAATTTGACCAGAGATTCGATGGACCGTCGGGGCGACCCAGCTTGAGCTTTTGGAGACGCTCAGTCCCACAGGAGCCATCCGGTGCAACGTCGCTGCTCCATTCCCCAGATGAAGGAGATGTCTCTCACGCCCCAGTGCACGGTAGAGGAATATCTACTTTATCTCCTGCTAGCGCACGTCTGCAAGGTGACTACGAGGATATATGGTCATCGCCGTCGACTTTGACGAGGAACCGAGAATATCTTCCGCTGCCGCCGTCGCTGAACTATTCGCTACGCGATCGGACCAGGTCTATTATCATCTTCACCATCCTGCTCGTTTTGGACAGCGCGCTGCTGCCGGTTGGCCTCTACTACGGTCTGTGGTATGGATTCGGGCCAGGCAACCCCGACTATCACCCATTAAGCGCCAATACTGTGTTCAGTATAGTCACTGCATTCATTGGGGGAACAAGTATCCTCGAGTTGGTGCTTCGGTGTTGGAGATTGTGGAAGAAAGACAGCGATTGCAGGGTGAGTATGGCAAGGAGCCCAGAATTGGTCTATTTGCATCTTTCTTGCATGCATTTGGAAACTAATCATTGCATGTGCATCACAGGTGATTGGAGCCACAAGATGGACGTTTGACTGGTTCCATTGGTGGTTCACCTTTTCTTGGATAGCTATTGCGGTCGAGCTTGCTGTGTAAATTACGTCCCCATTGTCCATCCAGAAAGTGTCCTGATGACATTTCCTTCTACATTCAGCTTGCATGAAACGACTACTAACCTGAAGAACGAAATCTAGTGCCTCGTCTCCCGAACGTCCTTTGAGACGACTGCTTGCCATGCCTCTGGCGACGGTTCTATACATCTTCGGTACTGTTCTCCTCACTATAGACGCGCTTCACTATTTCGCTATCCCAGCCCCTGTCCGTATCTCGTCGATCCCAAAGGGTTCACAGCTGCGACCAGGAATATATCCCCTGATCGAAGATGTCTGCGCCGTGAATGGCGGAGGGAAGACAGAGTTTCGTGTGGCCCTTGACCGGCGGTACGCTGCGAGCCATATTTTTAGAGCTATGCTACGACGGCTTGGATTCTTCTGGGCTGTTGGTGCTGAGGCCTGTGCAGGTGTGACAACTGCTCTCGTGTACGGGCTGGACGATCCCGATGTCGCTTATACCATTGGCTGGTGCCTGCCTTTTGTATGGGCTGGCTTCTGGGCTTGGGCTACTATTGTTTACGTGCAAAGACAGCTGAAGAAAGAGAGGAGCCACTGGATCAGGGAGTTGAGGAGTATGGTGTAATGGCGGGCATCACGATCTTGCACTCTGAATTTGATTGTGGCGCGCATTTGAGAAACAAGATATCCAAGAGAGACGAGAAAAGCAATGACTTGTTACTAGTTTCCAAGCCAACATGATAGATATAGATTATAGACGAAAATTCACTGGTAAGGCCCGGCCTGGGCTGATTCAATTGGCATTTCATTTTGACGGGGATACGGGCACGCGCGACACGAAACATAGCATGAGAGAATCAACTTGTGTGATAAGAGACCTCCATAAGACGTCGTCCCAAGACACGTGACAATTGAAAGCCTACCAGGTCAGGAGCAAGGAATACTCACTTATTCAGATTTGCTTTTAGATTTACTTCGCTCTGCAGGGACGAGGGCGATCTGTGCCGAGATTCGGTCGGGAGGCAAGGTGGTCGTTCAAGGGGCCGCTATAGAGTATCCGTCAAGTTGGTACGTGATCCAGTCAGAAGGCGTTCTGAGACCTGACGAGTAATGGCACTCACTTACCTGAGTAGGTTCAGTAGGGACATAGCTATGGTGGCATCAAAGAGGGTCCACACCCCGGAGTCCGCGGACAGCCGACACAATACGCAAAATTGACTGCATGGAGCGTGCGCCGTGTACATCGTGGACTAACTATGGGCGTCGCATGCGTTACGTTTCACCATTTGACTGAGCCACCTCACACCCACGAGTACTCTCAGTTGCATGTGGAGTTGCGTGAGTCCTTACGGGTTACTGCGGCGACTGGTACGTATCTGTGCGCCTGCTGCGCTCACTCACAAAAGTGAGCACTGACAGCTCCATTGGCAATTTCTGGCCGCCGTTTGCTGTGACGGTTGTTTTATACGGCTGTAAAAGCAGAGATGGAGCAAGAGAGAGAGGGAGAGAGATATAGCGACAAGAAACATAGGACGCTGCAGAATACTTGTTGGGGCGTTTCTATACTGCTCCTAGACTGCGCCAATCCTGACAAACATTCACTATCCCATTTAACCTTTCAATTACCTCAAACCCACCTTCAAACCTTGTGTATAGCATGGTGACCAATATACACTAAATGTAATACTGGTCTGCCAATCAACCTCGGCCCTTTATGCCCAACAACTTGATTTATGAAATATTTGATTAACCCAAAATAAAACCGACATTTCTGGCAGAGTTGCATCCAAGTCGCCACAGCCACTTAGTCCCCGCACGGCCGGGGGGCCACATCTGAGCCTAGTTGTGACGGCGTACCCGATTATCATTCAATGGGACGGGACACTCGGGGCCCGGTGGCTTATGTCTCTAGGAGAGAACATATCCACAGTGAGGCTTCAGAACTATATAGATCTCAGCTCTATGTGTGTATTTACTAGAATACACTGCCTGGGCTTCTGGCAATATTTGCATAGCACTCGAGTTTTCCTTTCCATCATGACGACTAAAACCAGAGAGCCTAGTAGCTCAAAATCGAGCTCGCACAAGAAATCTAGCAGTCGCGACATTGGTTCTCAAGACACAGCCAAAATGGCGAAGAAAACCGTGCCACTACCGCAACCCTCAACAGCGCCGTTCATCGGCAATCTAGCCGACATTGATATGGATTACCCTACCGGATCCATGCTGCACCTAGCCAAGAAGTACGGCGCCATCTACAAGCTATCGTTAGCCGGACAAGACCTCGTCATTATATCAAATTGGGATCTAGTCAACGAAGTCTGTGATGACTCAAGGTTTAAAAAGTCTATCAAAGGCGATCTAGAGGTCAGTGAACTATCGAAGCGCATGCTGAATTTGTGCGTCGACTAATTGTACTTTACTACTGTAGGAGCTCCAAACTGCAGTGCATGATGGGCTGTTCACGGCAAGTCCACCCTCGATTTCGATGAAGACGGATCCCGCTGATCTAATGAAAAACTTAGGCCAGAGGAGATGAGGAAAATTGGGGGGTCGCCCACCGCGTTCTTATGTCAGCCTTTGGTCCTCTATCGATCAAGAACATGTTCGACGAAATGCATGAAGTAGCCAGTCAGTTGGCGTTGAAGTGGGCTAGACAAGGGCCATCGGAAGCGATCGATATCGGCGAGGATTTAACTCGCCTAACTCTTGATACTGTAGCTCTCTGCTCCATGGGATTCCGTTTTAACTCGTACTACCGCCAGGACCTGCACCCATTCATCAAGGCAATGTATGCCGTCCTGGTGGAAGCGGGCCAGCGGGGCATGCGATTCCTTCCTGGTTTCTTCTACCACTCCGAGGATCGCAAGTTTCTGGAGAATATCAAGCTTCTGCGGACAACCGCAAGCCAAGTCATTGATGCTAGAAAACTTTCCAAAGGCGGCGACAGCAGGAGGGACTTGTTGACTGCGATGATGGAAGGTGTCGACGCACAGACTGGTCGCAAGATGACGGACGAGAGCATCATTGACAATTTGATCACCTTCCTCGTCGCCGGCCATGAGACGACCGCTGCCACGTTCCAATTTACTATGTACAACCTCCTCAAACACCCGGAATGTTATCGTAAGGTACAAGAAGAGATTGACACCGTCATCGGCACTGGATCCATCACTCTAGAACACATACCCAAGCTCAAATACTTGGCCGCGGTGAGTACGTTCCGGGGGTGATATCACTAGGTGCTGGGCTGATTGATTCTAGGTTCTGCGGGAAACTCTCAGGTTAAATGCCCCAATCACTATATTCGCCAGAGAGCCTATCAAAGATGAGATAGTCGGTGGCAAATACTTGATCAAAGCTGGTACACAGATCGGTTGCTTCCTTTCCAAGTCGCAGAGTGATCCAAAAGTCTGGGGTCCCGATGCCGACGAGTTCAACCCTGAGAGAATGCTTGACGAAAATTTCGATCGCATACAGAAGGAGTTCCCCCATAGCTGGTCTCCTTTCGGGACGGGTATGCGTGGCTGTATTGGCCGCCAATTCGCCTGGCAGGAGTTGCTTCTGGCTTTTGCCGTATTGTTGCAGAACTTCAACTTTGTCATGGATAACCCGTCGTACACCCTTCAGGTTACCCAGGCCTTGACTGTCAAGCCTAAAGACCTTTATGTCAGAGCAATTCCAAGGGATGGACTGACTCCATCGCAACTCGAAGCGCGCTTAGCTGGCTCGTTCCGTGACAATGCCAAGACGAGAGCTGCAAAAATAGCTCCCGTTGGCAATGGAAAGCCCCAAGTCGACTCGGGAAAGAAGATTGCGATCTACTACGGATCTAACGCCGGCACATGCGAATACATGGCCCAAAGACTAGCGTCGGATGCTGCTGAGCATGGATTTACTGCCTCAGTCGACACTCTGGATGTTGCTAAGGAAGCTGTTCCTGTGGGAGTTCCAGTCGTCATTATCATATCTTCCTACGAGGGGCAACCACCACAGAACGCTTCACACTTTGTCAATTGGATGGAAAGTCTGAGCAATGATGAATTGAAAGACGTCAAATACGCTGTTTGGGGCTGCGGTATGTTATGAACCAATTTTCTTTCCTTATGTCAGCCAGCTAGCCCAGAGAGATGCACGGAAACTAATTGCCCAACGATCGAGCAGGCCACAGCGACTGGGCAAAGACTTATCATCGCGTCCCTCAACTAGTGGACACTTCTTTTGAGAAACTCGGAGCAAAGAGGATTGCACCCATCGGGACCACTGACGCAAAAGATCGTGATATGTTCTCCGATTTTGAGGTTTGGGAGGATGAAACCCTGTGGCCAGCCATCGCCAACGAGTTTGGTGGTAATGAGAATGGACAGAGTTCACCTGCGAGCTTGCAGGTCTCCTTCTCGGCGCCAAGGGTCTCACACCTACGGCAGGATGTGAAGGAAGCGCTGGTGGTTAATGCAAAGTGCCTGACTAAAGCAAATGTTGGCGGAGAAAAGAGGCACATTGAGATCCAGCTGCCTGGTGGCTGGTCCTATATTGCGGGCGACTACCTGGCAGTGTTGCCTCATAACCCCAAACAGACAGTCGCCCGGGCCATGAGACGTTTCCACCTGGCATGGGATTCCCATGTGTCTATTCAAGCCTCTACCGTGACGACACTACCAACAGGCGGCAGTCTTCCAGTCTCTGAAGTCCTAAGTTCCTATGTGGAGCTTTCACAGGCTGCTACAAAGCGGGTATGTATAATGAAAAGTGGCCAGATTGTTCCGGTGCAGCTAACATATCTGTTAGAATCTGTCAACTCTTATTGAACTTGCAAAAGACGCACAAATAAAGGCGAAACTTGAGCATCTCGCAGCGGATGACTTCGACCACGAAGTTCGAGCCAAGAAGCTCTCAATATTGGACCTGCTTGAACAATTCCCTAGTCTGCTCATCCCGTTCCAACACTTCCTTTCAATGCTACCCCCCATGCGAGTCCGGCAGTAGTAAGTACATTGTCCAAAGTGTGACGAAACATCACAAACTAATTCACGCACCTTTCCAGTTCGATTTCGTCTTCAAACCTAGCACAACCTGGAAGAGTCACACTGACGTATGGTGTCCTCGATGTGCCAGCATATTCGGGCGTCGGCCGCCACGTCGGCGTCGCATCCTCCTATTTATCGACATTGCAAGCTGGCGATAAGATCCAAGTAGCAATGCGAAATGCCGCGGGAGGTTTCCACCTCCCACTGGAGGTCGATAAAACGTCCATCATATGCATCGCTGCTGGGACTGGTCTAGCTCCTTTCCGCGCTTTCATCCAGGAACGTGCAATCCTCCAAAGTAGCGGTCAGAAACTGGCGCCAGCACTGCTCTTCAATGGCTGCCGGGATCCCGAAGACGATGATCTCTACCGCGATGAGTTTGATGCGTGGGAGGATGCAGGTGTTGTCACGGTATTTCGGGCGTTCAGCCGCAGAACTGATGCTTCGGCCGGATGCAAGTATGTTCAAGACCGCTTGTGGCTAGAGAGGGAGGAAGTCGTGAAGCTGTGGAATAAGGAAGCTCGTATCTACGTATGTGGCTCAACTAAGTTGGCAGAGAGTGTCAAGGAGGTGCTGGTGCGCATCATCCAGGAGGAGAATGAGAAGAGTGGGCAACCTGTCACGGAAGAGGAAGCGGCTGAGTGGTTCGAGAAGCATCGGAACGAGCGCTTTGCCACGGATGTGTTTGATTGATCCGATGGGTATTTCCATGCATACAATTTGGGCGCTCTGGGATTAGAGATTATTGCTTTCTTGATATGAGGCTAAATTTCTGCACAATTTCTGATTATCATCGGTATCATGATGACAAGCCTCGCATCATCGGATGTATTTCGAAATTCCAGGTCTGTGGAGGAAATTATATGCACATTGTCACAGCAGTCGCTTTAGTTCTCTTGTTAAAACCTCCTGCCATGTGACGCCACGCGCTCTTCGTACGATCAATATGAACAAAACTGTACGTGAGCTCAACTAAATATGTTGGGTGCATGAAGAAAAGTTTGAAGTCGCGCATCCAAGTTTGGGTTGTATAGAGTTGGGACGCATTTCACGAGCGTTAGCCCAAGGTGCAATTCAAACGTAGGCAGTTTTCGTTCTTTTAGGGGGGGGGGGGGGGGGGGGGGGG